ACCCCACTTTACTAACCCCCCTCAGTCCCATCCACGTTATTCCACCCACTTCCCTACACCCCTCCTAGCCTTACTCTACCCCACTCTACTCGACCCCACATCACTTCCCTCCACCCCACACACTCCCCTCCCCTCCCCTCCATTCCACTCTACCCCACTCTCCTCCACCCCACCTCTCCCCACGCCACCCTAGTATACTCCCCTCGACCCCACCCACCCTACCTCACTCTACCCCACCCCCCCTCACCTCCACCCCACCCCACATCACCCCACACCACTCTACCCCCTGCACTTTCTTCCGTTAGACCAGTGACAAGTTTAAATCCCCTTAAACTCAGTATCTGTGGGCGTTCATCATAGGAATGTCCTCGTCTGTGAGGAAAGATCTCTCACCATCTCAGTCGTCAATACGTAATCGAGACTGTCTTATCGACGTGAAGTCTCTGATATTGATGTTATGTCACGGTTTGCCTTTCATTAAGTTAAGGGCACGTGCTCTCGTTGCACTCACATTGGTGTCGTTATGTAGGCCTTTGACGTATGTCAAACGCTTATTTCCCTCAAGAGACTTGGGTTCATACATAGGGTTAGTACTGAATAGAACTATTTCGGAATGACCCAATCTCAGTTGACAAAATTAATGTGTTTTTTGTCTACTACTCTTGATCGGTCGATCAGTTGCCCTGTGAATTGTATCAAGGCGACCTCTGTAATTGGATAATCAGTTTTCTGTAAAGCGATCCCGCTGAAATCGACGTTAAACTTTCTGTAAAGCCCCCTTTACACTGGACGGCGTCCTTTCTGCGTCCAGCAGTCCGGCCCCATTTGAGAGTTAAAAAATTATAATACTTTACGTGCCGGCAACTTGCTGTTCATTGAGCATTCATTCTGATACAAAATCAATGCTCGTGCCTCCTTATTTAGACCACAGCGTTGCCAAATTTCATGGTCGCAGAGAGGACGCAGAAAGGACGCCGTCCAGTGTAAAGGGGGTATAATCAATGCAACGTCTATACCAGGACTGACAGTTGTAATACAGCCTTGCTCGAAAGATATGCATAACGGAATTTAGTCTTTATATTTTTTCTGTCTAAATGAAAATCATTACAGCTGAATTTATTGATATTTCAATCTTATTCCAATTTACAATATCGATGTCTAATGTTTCTTTATTCTATTTTAATAATGTTGGAACATTAATTGCCGTCGTCGCCACTCTCTCTCTCTCTCTCTCTCTCTCTCTCTCTCTCTCTCTCTCACACACACACACACACACACACACACACACACACTTGCTGGGGGATCTTGTAACACGATCACTGTTCGAACGGTCAAATGTACAATGTAAAACGTCATCTTTTATTCTGTTTCAGAAGAGACAGATGTGCAACCAGAAACGGATCCATTGAACATGTCCACAAAATCTTCCAAGTAAGTACATGTAAACATCGTTATTAATTCATCTAAGAATTATGGGAATTGCACGATGCCATTAAACGTCTCACGGCACGCTCGACCATATAGTGGGATGTGCCACAAGGACTGGTGTACCAGAAATAGTAGTCCTAGAAATGAAAGTCAGGGATCCCATATACTTTGCTCAGGTGAGGGAGTATCGGGGTTAGTATATGGGACAAATATCACCTGTACAAAGTAAAGGGAACTTAGTAAAGGGGTTCTTAGTGCACTACCATTCCTGTCACACCGGCGCCATTTTGGTTATAATATAATCACCAGGCGTCGAATTCGCTATGCCTGGATATCACCCACTTCAGTTTCAGTAGTTTGCCTGTCGGCTGATGTATCTGTGAAAATGTGAAAATGAATTAAATAAATTAACAGTAAGATTGCTACAAAACACATCGAACACTTCTTTGCATATCGAATCACACTTTACTGGTTCCACTGTCCTGACGCCGTCATGTACGAAAAACGCTTTGATTTCCCAACAGAGTCTACGCGGTGACGTAAGAGTCCAGATCTGATAATGTAGTTTCTCTCTGCTCCAGTGAACACCAGAGTTATCTCAATATTTCATTAGAAGGGATCGATCCCAACTGTTTGCACTATAGGTCGCTATGTTAGCACCCAGAACAACACAAATTTAAACAAATCTGACACGTCATGCAGAAATGTCAGTATGACGTCACACCGGTAATGCCAGGTTTATTGCCAACAAGAGAAAGTACACTCACATACCCTAACGCATACTCAGAATTTTTATTTCTCAAAAGTCAAATTTATTAGATCTGCAAAGACTCATGGGAGCTCAGAATTTAATATCTAAACTTAGTTGCATCGAACCATTTAAAAAATGTTGATTGATCTGATATTTAATCAATGTATTCTTCGTTTATGTTTTAGTGGAAATGCACTCTCTTCAAGTGCGTGTACAATCCAACTTTAAATTACAAATAAAGTCTATGAATTCCTTACCATCCCTGTCAACCTCAATTTGTAAATGTTACTAACATAAGCTATTGGCAAAAGCCAAAAAGGAGGTGAAACTGATTTTAATTTCGCTCCCTTCCACACCAATTTGTAAAAGAGAATGTACCTGGGATATAATTGCCTTCCCAAGTAAGTCTTTAAATTAGCATAGATGTTTGCATGCAGCGTGCCTAAATAATGACTGATATCGCCCTTGTTTCTCCAGAGCATGATTGTTTTATGTGTACGATTTTTGACCTTGCTTTCCTTCTTCTTCAAAAGCATGCTTTGCTCTAATATACCTAAACCCAAAGGCACGTTACTAAAACAAAGGCTGTCCCGAAAACGCGCTCTATTATGCAAGTTATCGACTGTGTCGCCAAGAACAAAACTTCTAGTTGCAGATTAATTCGATTAATTTACATCGATTGCAATCATGCGGAGACGTCTACTGTCTCACGGTGTAGAATTAAAGGGAACGGATGGCAGACGTGGAATATGAATATCAACTGCTATAAACATTGACAACACAGAAAAAATATATGGTCTAGTGTCGAGGAGACGCTTGTTGAAATTGAGTTCCCGATACCTTTTTTTATGACTCGATAGGTACATGAAGACAATTAATGTATTATATTTAATTGATATTTTTATCTTAAAGCTACTGTAAAATTGCTATTTAAAAAAAATGACATGGCATCTTTAATTGATAATCATAATTTGTTTGTTTTGTTTCAGAATTCTCAAATATGACGTCACGGAAGAGGAACTCATGGAAAGCATTGCCAACGAATACGAACTATGAGACACTGAACGCATGCGCAGACACAGCAGCCAGGCAAAGGCCTGACGTCATGCGATGGTTGCATGATACAATATACCGATTGGCCATGATAAAACTGGTCACAGCTCGTGACTTGACATGTTGCCATAGTGATAGGGGCGGGGCTTGGTTTCTTCGCCACGACACAGCGTACGTGCTATTGTGCCATGGTACGGATTTGTACATGCCGCAGAACGGTTGTCCATTTTACAGATACGGCTTTCCGGGACTTAATTATGTGACGTCACAGAAAGAAAAATATTCTTTTTTTACACTGAAAATGCCATGGAAAATAATAATTCTACCTGGAAGTGCGGTAAACATCAGACTCAGAGGATATGATTATGGAATGAATATGCCATTATTACACTGGCAATGGAACTGGATGGTTATGAAAGATGTATAGTTTTCACGTCGCCAGTCCTTAAGAGGAATGACAAAGAGTATTGAGCCGTTACAGATGAGGGATTTTTTTCATAATAAACAAGATGATAAATGATGCAGCACCGGGAACATACAGAAAACACTATTCATGCCGAGAGCTTCATCTGTCTTGTTGTGCATTACTGTGACAATGATACATTATAATTCCCTGTACACGGCTAGTTCAATCAGTACAAAAAACACTTACATTAAGTGTCTCCTGGGACTTAAATCACTTAGGGGCGTTCAGAATGAGTTAAGTTGCATCAGCTACTGCGCACAAACTCTACGGGGGCTCTTGCTGAATGTAAACAGATTAACAGACTAACACGCCTACTTGTTTCCAACGTATTAAATAATCACCAGCTTTTCTACATTCTACTTAGCCCTGGGAGGAGGCGTGTTCTCAACGGAGCCAAAATTATGTTATGGACAATGTCTCATCTTTACACAAAAATGTACACAGTGTTTTATCGTTGCGAAAAGGTGAACTCGCTTTTACTAATTGCTCAATGTTTGTTATAATAAATTATTCGAACAGTTATTATGAAAGATGTGAATTGTATTTCTGCGTAGAAGTATTCCGTTATGGATTCTGTATGGCTATCTCTGGAAGGCGTTTATTTAATATTTCTAACGATTATTCCTGAAAGAAAGGCTTTAGGTTTTTTGCCTTAAAATAAGAGCCATTGAAACTACATCAAAGCATAACTTCTTTGTTTTATAAGTTTTGTCAGCTGTTTCCCTTACATATTGATTAAACAATGGGGAAGCACTAAGGTAATGATTTATGGGTAAAAAGTGTAATGCGCTAATTGCTTAACTTATCTGTGATATAGCTTTGATAAGCACTCCTTTGGTTGCCATGGTAACATCCTATGTTACCATTAAATTGATTTTGTTGTTGAATAGAGAAAACTTTAGATCATTGTCTCCAAAATACTTTTGGCGTCACTGATATTTCTTTATTAGGATTACCTTTACAGAAATAGATGATTACATAGAATTATGATAAAAACCGGAGTATCAATAAAGATATTTATACAACAAAGTGGCCCTTGATATCGACCAGGCGTTCTTCAACAAAGACGCGTTGAACAATTGTCTCGAGTTGGTTGTTCTTTTTGTCACTACAGTTATGTTTTTGAAATAAGATATGTCATAATTTTTTAGGAAACATATTACTGTCGCCAGATAGAAGCTGTCGATGATACTCAGTAGCCTACATTGCTCGATACAAATATATAATGATTCAGTTGGATTTAAATGTCAAAATTCAGTTCCATTGCTGGGTCAGTTCAGATGGTCTTTGGGGCGTTTTTTTCTGTCTCTTTCCTTCTTATATGTTTTTTCTCTCTCTCTCTTTCTTTTTTTACAAAGTCCCATTGTTATTCTAAATTAAGGAGAGAGGCGTTTGCTTGCAACTCCCAGCTGTTGATCAAACCGCCGCGCTGTAGGCCTACTTGTCACATACTCTGTGAATCAAAGGTCTCGCTTGTAGTCAATCACAAAATGATGGTATCTACTATCTTNTTTTTTTACAAAGACCCATTGTTATTCTAAATTAAGGAGAGAGGCGTTTGCTTGCAACTCCCAGCTGTTGATCAAACCGCCGCGCTGTAGGCCTACTTGTCACATACTCTGTGAATCAAAGGTCTCGCTTGTAGTCAATCACAAAATGATGGTATCTACTATCTTTTCTACAATTTTAATTTGTTGATTTTTTCTACAGGCCCCTGTGATTTCAGAGGCTACTGATCACAAACCTTTGAAATAGTAGAAACCTTCAATATCGGGATTGCAATCAAGCTTTCACTCTCTGCAGGTTTTAACAAAATTCTATGCCAGCAGCTGTATGCAGGCCTATTTGCTTCCATAACAGACAGAGACCCTCAGTTTTATTCTATGGTACAAAGCTCATCCAGGTATCAGCTCCGATATGGTCTAGTGGTTAGGATTCCTGGTTTTCACCCAGGCGGCCCGGGTTCGATTCCCGGTATCGGAACAATGAATTTTTGTCTTAACCAGATCGAGACAGACAGATAGCACATTTACGATAAAGTTACTCACTCCAAGGCGGTCACCTGTAACAAAGGAGTAGATTTTAGTGGCAATCTATTAATAATAATAAATTTATTGAGCACAGAAATATTTTTACATTTACAGGCTCTTTTAGTACTATGTACTTAATATATATAGGATAATAGTGATGATAGTAAATAAATGAAAAAAAAAGTTACGGATGGATTTTGATGAAATTTTCGGGAAAGGTCAGAAATCGGCTAGATTTTTATAATGATTAATTTATTAATTAGTCCATAATAAATCAATTGAAAATAATGGAAATTGAGCTAACTGGGAAGTGGTTTGCACTTAGTGTTTTTCTAGTTTACTGAAACAACAGTCCAGGGCCCGTAACTCAAAAGCATCGCGAATTGCGACCGAGCGCAAGCGTCTTTATTCCATATCTCGCCCCATATAATAGCCTCGAAATAAAAGGTGATATCGCTATTCGCGATGCTTTTGAGTTACGGAGCTCTGCTTTTTCTGTGGGATTATGGCTAAAATTAGCTCCTTTCACACCTGATGTTACACGACAGGATGTGAAAACTCATCTGACATTTTTAAGAACCATAACAACAATTATCACGTTGTTGTGAATATGGTGTTTAGCACATTGTAAAATGAGCGTTTACATTTATTACACCCATTGTTTATTCACTGTTATTTGCCAGGTATATTTTCTCTATGGATTACAGTAATGACTTGATCTTCTTAAGTGAGAAAATTGTTGATTTAACACATAGTGGATTTTCTGTCATAAATTCTTAAAGTGAGAAAATTCTTATTGAGTGGTTGCAAAATAATAATAATAAATAAAATAAAAAATAATAATAAATAAAATAAAAATACAGAAAAACAAGCTCAATTATAGTGCTATTCTATACAGCATAAGCACCACAAATGCTTTGTAGAACTATGATTTTTAATGATTTGGAAATCATGTATCTGAAAATTTGATAATTCTTCCCCATTGAAAAACTGAGACATTACTGTAACTAGTAAACACCACTATCCTCATTTGACAGATGTTATACTTTTGTCACAAAGGTAGAAATTCCCCTGTATTATTGTTATCATCAAGAGTGGTAAAAATAAAAACCACTGTAACTTTTTTGTTGAATAAACAATTATGATTCATTATCTTTATTATCATCCATCATTATTAAACTAGACACAATAGATCATGACATCATGTCGTATACTCTGACAAAGACAGCAAAGATGGCAACAATTTTTTGCAGACTTTCCTTTCTGGACATGCACATGGATATTTTACATCACACTCGGTCTGAGAATCTATGTTGTCACAAACAGACTGGAAAACAACATGAATAAATGATGTGGATTACGTGTACTGCGCCAGTTAGTTTGGGCCTGAGGACTGTCACTATTCATAGCTATGGATCACAGCACTATGAGCACATCGGTACTGCAGTAGAACTTAAGGGTATAAAAACTCATAAATATAGAAATTCATAAATAACTTCAATGCCTTTTTTGCTTCAAGTTTTTTATGTAGGTTAAGAGTAAGTGTATTTCTGCTATGGCAGAATCACTCCACGACTAAAACAAATTTTTAATTTAAGATTATTTGAGTTGTAACTCTTCCTGCCAAACCTGGCAATGTGGCAAATGGTGTAAGGAATGAAGTTCTACACCTGGGCATCTTTAGTCCCAGTTACAGGAAACAGACACTGTGCAATGACATGACTGACGCTTGGGGTGAGAGTTCTATGAATATTCTCAATAATGATCCCGCATTCCGTCTATGGGCATCTTCAGTCCAAGCCCATGAGCTACTACATGAAATTTGCCAGCTGATGAGTTGAGAAGAGCTCCATGATATCCACATCAGGACATGTCACTAGTAAGTTCTATGACTCTGGAAAAGGTATAGTTAGAAGACTTCTCAGTCAAGGACCACAACATCGTCGTCGTCGTCACTGGAGCCACCGCCATTGATCTGTGATAAATACTCCTTGGCTAGAATTTTTCTAGGAATGATATCTGAAAAAGAAAAAATAAATTGAGAAAAAAATTACTCAATACTATTGTTACCATTGATATCATTAAAGGTAATTTATATGAGGCTTTCCCACCAAACAAACTTTCCTTGGGGCTAAAAAAACAATTTTCTCCTACTCATAAATCTTGCTTGTCCATTCCATGAACTTGGATTTGATTTACACATAATATTACATATTAACAGAAGTTCATCACATTTCATTAAGATTAAGCAGCATATGACATTAAACATTCAACACATTGACACAAGAACATGAAACAGACCTCATAAAATTATATAACCATTTCCTGCAGTACAAGATCAATCTCCATTGTCAGTGATTGAGAGCAGTGTCATTAACACCTTAGTGAAGCAATATTTTTCATACAAACACACATCAACACTAACGTGTGTTAAAGCTGCCATTATGAGTTGCTGTGTGATAAGTGAAAGTATAATAAAAGGGATAAAGCTCAATTAAGTCACACTGCAGCAACAATCAAGCAGAAATTGAAAGTTCTAGTTGCAGCGGGTTGAAAAAGAGACTAACGTAAGTCTCTGAAGCTGGGACAAACATGTTAATTAAAAATTAAAGACTTACATTTTTCAAAAATTGAAAATTTCTTAGAAAACCAACAAATAATTATTTCAAAGATAAGAATACTGGAAGACACTTGTATAAATCTGACAACCATCCAACATGTGGTGGTTTAAAAAAATTTTTTTTGGGGGGGGAGGGGCTGAACCCCAGAACATTACTAGTAAATGCCACAATGTTTTCCTCATCCACAAACGATAATGTCATGAATTGACTGTCAACCTAAAAACCTTTAGAAATTAAAACCCTTCGGAAACTTAGAGTGAAAATCCACAATAAGATTATATCATATGAAACTATCCCCAGGTATGGTAATCCTAGTTAGAAGGATTAATTGCATATTTACTCATTTAAAATGACATGAAGTGTACCACATCAAATATTATTCTGTTTGCTCCAAGATTTAAGAGGCTACTCATATGCAAATAATAGAAGTCAAGGCAAAGAAATTCAATAGCAGTTACATTAGCTTGCTATTCTATACACTTTGTGGCAGACACAGATCTTTCAAATGAGAATGTAATGCAAACTATAATGCTGAATCAATTAGAACAATATTTTTTCAAACACCAAATATGTTATACATCATGAGAGTAGCCTTTTGGAGCACCATTTCCTGAATATGAACAGACTACTGAAGGCATCAATAATGTGTAATTTTGTAATTATAATCATCAATAAAGGGCAAATCTTAGGCCCAGAGCAAACTCAAAACTTAATACATAGGTGTGTGCACTGATCTGTCTCTTTCTCTTGCTAAAACCATTATCAGGCAGAAAAAAAGTACTAGTACATCATTATATCTACTGAAATTTGGTGAAAAAAACAAAAACAAATGATTAATCTTTGTTTTCATTGTTTAAAGATGCATACAAAGTCAATTTTTTGTCACAAAAACCAACCAAATGCCAGCATATAGTTTCAAGTAGTATAACTAAGAGAATTACCAAAAGGCATCGTTTAATTTTACCCAAAAATGATGTTTGAACGGATTTTTCTGCTGGCATTCTAAGCTGTATGTCAATGGGGCAAGAAAGTAGGTCACGAAAGTAGGTTAAATTTACAACCAAAAATTTAAAGAAAGGAGCAGTCTAAAGGTCTTTTACGGCTGATCGAGTGATCTATTCAGTTCATCCCTTGGCATGTCGAATTTATTTGAGTCATATAAGAATCTAGTAGAAGTGGTTTACATGTGTTACTGGGAATCCACGCTCCACCGATGCTCGGTTCGTATGTACCTTTAATCAATTAATTTATTTATCATCATTGTGTGTGTGTGCAAGCATGCATGTGTGTGTGCTTGTGTGTGTGCCCACATACGTGTGTGACTGGTTTCCCATGTTATCCAACTTTACAAATCAGTTTAAGATGTTTTACTGAGGTCGAGTTAATCTTACACAATCCATTGATATCCCATATGAGTGTGGAAAATATCGATTCTTTTTATGAATTATTTCTCCACTCTATCAATACACCTTCCAACCTATTGATCCTCGTGTAAACACTTTAATATCAGTATATTAGATACCTGTTAGAAACCATTATTGTTCAACATCAGATCTGCTAACTCTGTGACCTCATTGACTCTTGGAACATTTCTCAAAGTAAGGTCAATAACTTTGTTATTTTATACCTAATATATCTGTTAGAAACCATTCTTGCTGGCCATCAGATCTGTTCATTCTGCGCCCGACTTCACGTGACCTCATTGACTCCAGGACCAATTCTTAATCAGAGTCAGGTTAATTGCTATATTATACCCATATCTAGGGTAGCACTGGGAATGTTTTTTTTTTTTTTTTTTTTTTTTGCTTTGCCAAATCACTACTCTTTCATCACTTTTTTTCTTAAAATGTCCTAAATTTAACTAAAAACAAGTCAAATCAACCCTGTTTTGTGTAGCCAATTTAAGTCGGTTTTAGCATAGGGCTGAAAAGGGGAGTTTTAGCACTAACTCGCATATAAACCTGCTTAGTACCTGACAGAAATGGTAGCAAGTTTCTTTGTCCTCTTAAGCAATGATAGAAAATGTCACCACTGCATTGGCAGGATTGTGTCACAGCAGGCAGAACATCTAACAAAATGTGCTGTCAGAACTGACAGAACGACAGACATATTGTGCTGCCAGAACTAAATGAACAGCTAGCACAATAAGCTGCCACAACTAACAAAACACCTCACATAAGTGATACCAGCAATATATTTTTTCCAAATTGCTTTATTATAATTCAATACAATGTCACAAGATACTTATCTACTGACCATGAACAAATAAATATATAAAAGATAAAAACTGATCCCTGAGCGGAAGCTGAGAGGGTCAGTATGATAAATCAAAGATAATGCTTGTCAATGCTTACCATGTAAAAATTCTAAATTATCATCTGTGTTCACAATTTCAGCCAGGTCTTTATAGTCCACTTTGTTCTCCTCTCTGCTTCTCTTCAGTGTTTCTACAGCCAGGTCCTGCACAAACAGCTCCTGTAAACAACAAATAGTCAGACCTGGACACAGGGCATGAAGATTGGGGCCATTCATAATAAAAGATCCGAGTATCAACTGGTCCAAGGCTCAAATATGGTGGACCCTATATAGGAAAATAAGGCCGCTTCATCCTGTAATGGCATTTGAGAGGCGGAAAACCCATTTCAGGATTAGGCAGTCTTCCTTTCATATAGGGTCTGCCATATTTGAGCCTTGGACCTGTTGGTATTCGGATCTTTCAATCTGAATGGGGCCACTGAGTTCAGATTCAAACATCCTACCAGATGGATCTATCCAACTCTGCCGGAGATTAGCGCTAAAGTGCATTCTTAATTGTCTGACACGCCTCTTTGAGTAGCTACTTAGTAGTTAATTAGCTAATTACCCCTAGCAACTTGAGGAGGCATATCGGACATTTAAGCTGATTACACTGATTGCACTTAAGGAGTATTTCCCACAAGAGTTGGATTGATCCAGCTAGTATGATGGGTTTGTCTGAATGCATTTACAATTCACAGTTCCACCAAGATTTATGTGTTAGCCTCTATTTACTTTTTCTGATATTTAGTATGTGAGCTAACACATAAAAAGATATTATTACATGGCAATATTATTGGTATTACGATTTTTGTATTGTTCAAAGAGCTGTCAACAGTAAAATTGTTCCTGTTTCATCAGCATGGGACTTGAGGAGTTGAGGTAAGAGAAATAAGAATTTGGGAGCTTTAGCATTGGAGTGGACTCATTATTCTTATTGGGTGTATTTAATTCAAAAATACTAGGTTTATCGATTTAAATCGGATTTTTGACGTTTTGATCAACTAGTGCGGTATTCGAAAGACGTTTTGTGTGAATTTTAGTTTCACTGAGTAAGATCTGCCTCTGTCAACAACAACGGAAAAGGGACGGTTGGTAATGACTTTACGATGGATAGTTGATGAGACAAGTAAAACTTACTGTTGCCTTTGCTATAAGAAACAGGCAATCTTGGCTTATGTTAGAAACATCTGGGGAGCTCTTCATTATCGTCTTAATCCTAGACAGAGGCAAAGATATTTGTGCCGCCTTTTCTGTCTTTTCTTTGTCCGCCATTTTGACGCTATGATTTGCCTCGTGACAATTATTAAGAAAAATTGTGAACGATTAGACACCTTTACACAAGAAACAAAATCACTCAATTTAAATAATTTTTTTAATTAAATTAAATTACAGATTTTTTGGACAAAATATAAAATATTTTAATTTTCTTCGTTTGTCGATTTGATGCGAGACAGCCACTTCGATGTCGAGGCTCCACATGGCCTTTTGCTTCCGGTTTCAAACCTGTGCAGTCGGTACGTGAAAGCTCTGCCAAATATTTGTCAAATGTTTGAAATGACGGACAGAAATATTGAAATAACCAGTTGCCTAGTTAAAATTAATGCTTATTGTCATGTTTTAGGTAACTTAAAGACGTGTCTGTTTTTATGAAAAAGAAAAGAATGCCCCGGCGTTTGGTTGTTTCACAAAAGTGACTGACACGTTTCAACAATATGCGGTGATATTTTTCTTGTCAAAGTTGGATTAAAATAATGTACACCAGCGTAACATTTACACAGAGTTCAATTTTGATATTTAGTATGCATCTTCTTACTAAATCATAATTGTGGAGAACTTGCATAATAGAGTTTGCCGAAGTTTTAACTTGATGGGCGTGAAGTCATGCTATCATTGTCAGAGTTGGATGGGTGCACACTCAGCTGTCACCTTGATTGGTTAATCAGCCTGGTAAATGTACCTCAGAATAGAAAACGACATAAAAACATCATAATAGTCAACCCTTATCATAAAAAATCAATTTTTTTTACAACAGATTCAATAAAATCACCATATACATCCCATATATACCATAAAATAATATGGGCTAATGAAACAAAATCTCAGAAAAAAAATAGGCAATAAAAGTCCAAATAAAAGAAAAGCAGACATTGGGTAACCCTCACACTTGGTACACCTACTTTTAATTTCCCAGGCTACATCCTCCCATTTTTGCTTTTAAATCTGTTCCTAAAATTGGACCTTAGTACCTCTGTTAACTAGAAAACCATGGAAACATCAAGTACAATTCCAGTACTATACAAAAGTCTGGCATGACTATACAGGACTGTGGTTTGAGGTTCAGTAACCAGTTTAATTAAACAATCAAGGTGACAGAGAGACTTGGATATGTGCGACCATGTTCTAAAGTAACGTGCCATATTTTTTTTCTGTATACTCAGTACAGAGTTTCCTCCCTGGCACCAGCAGACAATGGCAGCACCAATGATGCAGGAGAAAGTGTGGTTTGACAAGTGGCGCTTTGATGACGCTGAGCGCATGTATCAGGAGAAACTGGCTGGCACCGCTGGTGCTTAGACGGGAGGTGCCAAGGCTAGTCCCACTAAGACAGGTGGACAACAGGTGAGAAAGCAGGTGATCATTGTCAATCCTGCATGATGCTGACTACAGACTTTTTCATTTTTTTTTCCTTACTTGCTACATTGGTAAGGCCTCATTACACCCTGTGTTAGAAACTCCAGAGGCCATATGTATCCACATCTTGGGAAAACTGTTTTCTGTCACAAACTGTACTTTATATGCTCAGATTTTTTAAGTCCTTTTATAAAGGTTCACAAACCACATTTTAGTCTTTGTAGTACACTTTTGCACCACTTCTGCATGCCATTTGAAAATGACATAAAGCCTCAAACATTTCTAGCACAGGGTATCAAGATGCTTTACCTTTGTAGCATATAAGGCCAAAAACTGAGGCAAACTACAGACCGACACTATTCCAAGGGTGTGGAGAATCACACAGTAGGCCTGTAGTCAGCAATTTCATAGAGGATGGGGGTGGGTCTGAAAAAGTGTACTTTACCCCCTTAGTTAATCAAACTTGAAAAATTCTATAGAACTTGGGTCAAAATTTGAGTCTTACTGCACCTGTTCTGTCCAGAATGATGGTTCTTTCAAACTCCGCCCCCCACCACCTGCCTTCAGGCCTACATAGCATATATAAAGCGCCAGGTAAAAGGTATACTGGTATTGTAATTGTATGGAGAGGACAGCACTAGCATCAGCTAATTGAAAGAAAATAATATTTTTTCTGATATTTTTCACAGAAAGTTTTTATTGAGGGATAATATTTCAGAACTTCAGAGTTGTGTTGTGAAATGACACAATATGTTCTACGTGTTCTACCTGTTCTGTTCTGTTATTTGACTCTGTGGTGAGAAAGGAAGGTGAAAAGGGCATTCAAACTTAAAGGCTACTTTTTTTACTACCATTTATGAAAAATATTTTATTTTGTGAGAAATCATAATATGGCAATAGGGTTCTTTTTTTTCACTTTACATTTTGGTGATTTGTACTCAGTTTTTCGTACTTAATTTTATATCAAAAGCATCTTGCTCTTGTATTACTGACCGTCATCTCTCAACTGCAGAGAGACTAATTTTTTGTGGACATTGTTTTGATCTTATTGTAGGGGTCTAAGCACAGTGAACTAGTGGATCAGATTATACAAGCTAGGCAGAGAATTCAAAACACATTAAAGTCAGATGTGAGTAATTTGTTGTTCAATGTATATCCATAGCATCTTTTATTTCATAGAGTATTGTAATGTTATGCACTGAACATTTCAATCAAATTGTCATGGAAAGAAAAAAGGCAGTGACTCGCATCTTTCTCAGTGATCAACCCTGTGCTTCTAAGACTCCATTCCCATACCTAGATTGATTTAACAGGATCAATCCATCTCCAAGGGGTTTCTCGCTAAATTGATTTCAGCTTAAGTGGCTTTGATGTCTAGCATGCCTACTGAAGCTGCTAAATTACAATAAATTACCCCCTAGGAGCTTCGGTAAGCGTGACAGACATCTAAGCTTCTTAAGTTGATTGCAATTTAGTGAGAAACCCCTCAGAGATGGATCAATTCTGTTAGATCGATTTAGGTATGGGAATGGGGTATAAGCTTGGCATTTTATGTATCTGTATATATTTCAGTGGAAGACTCTTACCTGATTTTTCTCCTGCCTTACCAACCCCTAGCTTAGCATTATTCATTTATTACCTAGACTTAATTGTACTTTGTCCTTTTTATTTTGATGTCTCGTGTATTAGAATTGAAGATAGCAGATGTGTTATGTTTTTTTTTTAAGTATGAGACAAGGGATATTTAAAAATCATTATTTGAATATTAACCTAGGAGATGTTCTTAGTCTACTTCAAGATTAAAAAAAAAAAAAAAAAAAAAAACTCAGATGCTCAGGATAATTGGACTAAAAAGATTTGAACAAATTTGATTTTTTCCCATTTTTATATGATACAGTGAAATAAGTTATCAATTTAAAAGAATAAAACATAGTTGTTTCATCCCACTTATGATTTGCAGAAAGAAAAATGGAATTTTAATACTTTTTTGCATGTATTCTGAAAGTTTAAAAGCTTTTTTTGTCTGTAATGACATTATTGCTCAACTGAACTATTTCCAATACGTCTTGTGCTTAGCATTCATATTCTTTCAGTAAGAATGTGCATATAATTTTGTAATGCATGCTCTAATGGCAGGCAAATTATTACATGAGAAAAATTTTTTTATTTTGTTTTCGTCATTTTTTTTTTCTTTTGTTTATTGTGACTTCATAAATTTATCACCAAGTTGAAATGAGCTATTTGTTCGTGGCCTTTTCTTTGATGCATGTGAGAGATCTAACAAGTTGGATAAGGGTTATGTATGTATGATGAGGAAAGTACAGGTGGAAGTTAATAATTTTATATTTTTATCCAGATGTCTTGAGGATGAGGCATTTAAATGAATTATCACAATGAGTTAACCATGTCATTTTAATTGATTATTTGCACCATTGAAATTTTTGAATTGCCAATATTTCTTTATCCATGTCATTTTTAATTGATCATTTGCACCATTGAAATTTTTGAATTGCCTGTGTTTCTTAAATATCAGGCCGTAGGATGTTAAGTGCTCCAAAGCTTCTTTAGCAATCTTTAAATTTCATTTATACATATGATATATAATATACCTATTTAATTTTTACCATGTTAAAAAGTAAATTTGTCAAATCCTGTTAACAATATAAGTTGCAGGATATTGAAGGACTCGGGGGGGGGGGGGGGGGGAATCTGCATATATTATGTATTGCAGAGATCTGCTGTAATCTGTCTGTGTGTATTTTATGTTATATAATATTTATAATATTATATATTGCAGGGATCTGCTGTAAGCGGAGACTCGGCCATGCTGGGTAGAATAGAACATCTGGAGAAAGGTATCTTTTTTTAAATAAAGGGTGATTCCATTAAATTGCATGTAAAAAAACTGACAGCTTTTCAAAAGTCCAAAAAGTTATTTGTTTCATAAATTTCATGTAAAAAAAGAGCTTTTCAGAAGTCCAAAAATTGATTTGTTCTATTTTGAAGAGTGATGACTGGCGAATGTTATTCTTAGCAAAATCCGTGCAAGGTCCTTACATGAATTGCTTTGTGATCTAAGCATGTGAATTTTGAGTAAATTGAGATCCGTCAGTCAGCGTCCACATAATGGTCACTGTGTTGTGAATTCCAGTGACCCAGGACCTCCAGGCCATGGTCACAAAACTGACCTCCAGAATCTCTGCCCTGGAGAGTGGAAAGGGGGCAGCACCGGCCAAGACAGCACCTGCTAAACCAGCACCCGCTAAGCCAGCTCCAGCAGATGATGATGACGACGATGATGATGATTTTGAGCTGTTTGGATCTGGTGATGAAGACGAAGATGCAGCAGCAGAGAAGCTGAAACAAGAGAGACTGGAAGCTTATGCTGCTAAGAAATCTAAAAGTAAGGGTGTAAAGTGTTTGATTTATGTGGACATGGCAGGGGGTAGATGGCTTGACAGTAAAAAAAAAAGAGGAGTTTGAGCACTTTTGTTGCCAAATATGCTTCCTTGTTATTGAATATCACAAATTCAGTAAGTTNGGGGGGGGTCAAGTGACCCCATTTACCCCCCCCCCCCTGCAGACGCCCATGCTGATATGTTCTACTTAACTTGCTTTTAACTTTTATTTCTATATTCAAGTGTGCATGTCCTGTGAAGTCAGCTTTAACAGATACGAGGATCATAATAACAAAACTTGTTTCTTGTCTGTTAATGTTTGAAGGTTACATGAAGAAAAAAATTAACCTTTTCCTAAACTGTTATATCTGTATATTTTACCTTTTTCTTTTCAGCTAAGCTAGTCCCAGTTGGTTATGGCATCAAAAAACTTCAGATTATGTGTGTAATAGAAGATGATAAAGTCAGCACTGAAGATTTAGAAGACCAAATTCGTGAATTTGAAGACTTTGTAAGCTTACATGTGTTAATTTTCCCCCTCATTAACAGTGGTGCAGTCTAAGACTATTATAAATATCTTCTTCATAACTTGGCAAAGGTCATTTAGGTAAAAGTTAACAATTTTTGTTTGTTTTTATGAGAGTGTATTTTGGATTTTAATGATTTTTTTCTGCTTCTTTTTCAGGTCCAGAGTACAGACATCGTTGCCTTTAACAAGGTCTAACTTCAGAAATTCCAGAAATAAAAATCTGCGACAACCAACAAATACTCGGCAATGCCAATGTAGACTTTAAATTAAAATGCAGTGCTGAGAGCCTTATCTCCACCTGGGATCCCGCAGTCACAGAGTATTAAGAAATAACTGTACTTAATACCATCCTTACTTTGAATAAATTTGAGAAAAGGATGTACATAGTTGTGAAGGTAATTCAACGTTGTGTTGTAGTTAACTCAAGTCAACTTGTGCTGTTATGCCAACTTCACTTGTCTGCAGTGAGCAGTATGGAAAGTCAATAAACTCTCAATTTGTGTTTACTGAAATACTGGACTCTTATTTTTATTATTGACACGTTCATAAAAATCATCAAATAAAATCATTTCAGATGTGTAAAAGCATTTTATTTCCAGTCACTGAATGCTACAAATTACTTTGTGTATTGTATATTAACCATTTGCAACATTTTATTAGAGTTATTGCACATTGTTTGCAACATATTTTTAAGTTGTTTGTTGAGGTTGGGGTTAGACTCTGGACTTGTACAGCTTAATCATTTAAATAAGCCTGTTGACAGTTTCTGACAAAGAATACAATCCTCCTTCAACTTGATAAGCAAAATTCAGAGAACAACTAGAAGTAAATATTGTACCAGTTCAAACAGAAGTAGTACCAGACCTGTATTCTTTCAATTCAGTCCACAGTCATGGTCACAACAGAGGTCACTACATATTTTACAACTACTGGTCAGTTTTAAGATGACCACTGATAAAACTTCAGCAAAACGACTTCCCAATGCAGACCACATGGTCCACCCCACAGCTAACAGCCTCAGCCATGGAGGGAAGAGAAACCTGGGGATATAAAACAACTTTTAAGAACACATTACTGAAATGAGGAAATATAAAATGTTACTGTAACTGTTGTAATAAATCTGACCTACAAATTCTCTGCTCAAGCTTTAGTTCATAAAAGCCAATTTCAAAACTCTTGGATTTTGGTGGTTGTATTTACAAATTCCATACAAAATGAGGTAGACAAAAGAAACTATTGGAAGAGAACATTAAAGAATGGACAGACATTTAGCTTCTGCCAGATCCAGGCACTGGCAAACTACCGAAAAAAAAAGGGAGAAGTGTCATGTGCTGATTGTCAGCACAGCACCTCTGTGATTCCATATTATGGAATTAAGAAAGGGAAAAGAAGAACGAGGAAGAATTACCTTGAGAGGGAAAAATTGGTCCTTTCTGGTGCCGAGGCCCAGGGCGCCAGTTTTGTTCTTCCCCCACATGTACACGTCTCCTCTGTCTGAAATGGAGGAAACTGCCACTTTAAAACTAAGACCCCATTTCCAGAGATTAGATCGATCTACTTTAGATCGACCTAACTCCCTGGGGGTTCACGCTAAATAGCTGTCAGCCGGGCGGACACGAAAGTTAATTACCCCCTTACAGCTTGTAGTAGGCGGGACGGACATTTAAGCTGGATTATCTGACAATAATCTAGTGAGACTCCTCGCGGGGATAGATCGATCTAAAAGCTCTGGGAATACAGCCTAACTTACAGTTTAAATGGTAAGAACAGACAAATATAAGTAGGTATAAACACAAGATTCTTCACAAGTTTAACTTACAGTTATTTTAAAATATCTTTGAAGTGTGGACCCTCAGGCTAAGAGACAAACTGAGTGGGAAATTAAACTAATGATAACTTAATCTTCTCTTGACCCACTTGTGAAGTTTCATTATTTTTAAAATACAATTTGACTAGAACCCCCCCACCGAAAAAAAAAAAAAAAACTCACCAGATTAAGACAACATGTGGAACCAACCAAAATAAATACTGAAAACCCAGAAAATCCAGCATATTCCAGAACACTTTCACCCCTGCTTACTCTACACCTACCAGTAATAGCAGCAAACTGGCTGAGACCACTGGTCAGAGAGGTCACCTTGGTGTCCGGAGTGAAGTCATTTCTGCCAAACAGTATGGGAGGGATCCGTGTGGGTACTGGGCTCTGGTCCAGTGCTGGTCCCTTTCCCAAGATACCATAGCCCCAGACATAGACCTCTCCACGCTCTGGGGGAGATTACAACATGACATATATAAATATAAACAAACAGTATGATAGGGATCCTGCTCTGTCAGTTGATAATTCTTACAGCAGAATGGACCATAACATGTATAAACCTATATAAACATTTATAAACAACATGGGAGGGATCCCAGATGGGCAGAATAACACCCCATTTCCATAGATTAGATCGACCTACTTTAGATCGACCTAACTCCCTGGGCGTTCACGCTAAATAGCTGTCAGCCGTGCGGACACGAAAGTTAATTACCCTCTTACAGCTTGTAGTAGGCGGGGCGGACATTTAAGTCGGATTATCTGAAAGTAATCTAGTGAGACTCCCCGCGGGGATAGATCGATCTAAAATCTATGGGAATAGAGCCTTAGTATCATGGCTGATGCAAGCTGCTTTTATCAGGTGAGAATTCTTAAAGCAGAATGAGAATACAACATGTAACTGATTTTGGAGTGAGTATCATATAACTGATGTTATCTGTTACATCAAGTAAATCTTAAACCAGAATAAGAATAAAATGCAGCAGGTTATAGAGTTTAGTATCACAATGGATGTTGTTAGATTCCGCTCCATCAGGTAAAACCTAGACCATAATGAAAATACAACTTATCACAGGTTACACAGTTAGTATCGATAGCTCATGTAATCCGTTCTAATAGGCAAAACTTTCTAAACCAGAATTTCTCCATACAAAGACTACATCCATTTAAATATGCATGAATCATTATAACATAAAAATTTCATGATACAAATCTAATTTTTGAAATTGTAGCCGACTTTACTTTAACCACAGAATCTTTGTAAGAAAACAAAAAGCCTTTAATTTTTTTACGATAGTCTACTTGACATTTCCTAACAGATGAAATAACTGATACAAAACCACCTAGACTGACCATTGACTAGCCCACAGTTTGTGCCTCCGGCCGCCACCTGTGTCACTTTACCAATCTTGTCACTGATCGGGAGACGTCTGGGTTCGGTGACCTGCGTCCGGTCCTTCTCCACACAGTCCAGTTGATAGTACTCATTGTTACCCCAGCCAAACATGTCTCCCTTGTCTGGAATATAGAGACAGCACAACATACATCCCCTGACTGAAATATGGGATAAGTATAATTATTTTATACATTGTTATAGTATACTAACTGAAACCACCTCTCCCTTGTCTGGAATATAGAGACAGCACAACATACATCCCCTGACTGAAATATGGGACATATTACTTTAGACAAAGCTATATTAACTGAAAACTAGGACTTGACACACACACACACACACACACACACACACTCTAACAAGGTCACATTTTTTAAAGATACAAGAACTGTTATATATGTTATCAGATATTCAAATATATTCTAAAACATGTAATCACATATCCAAATACATATTATTTCAAACATTTTCAAAATACATGGTGGTTTGATTCAAGCAGTGTCCATTGAAAACTACTTCAAACAGCCTTAAAATATGTGCGAATACTGCATCATCGGAACTTTGTCATCCTCAGGTGTGATCTCTCACCTGACACAGCCAACATTGTGTCCGAGCGTCCAGCGATGTGGACAATCTTCTCCCCCTGTAGATCACCCCGGACCAGAGTCAAACTGTCAGCACAATCATGGTGGCCAAGACCTGGAGAAGAAAACACAGGTGTCCTCTTCTATGAGAGACTTTGAAATAAATCTTTACAAGGCATAAATACTTGTTTAAATAGAATTAAAAGAGTTTGTATATGTGATCGGCAATGTATTTACATTTGGGAGCTGGTTAGAAAATGACTGGATGGTGGATTAACCAGAAACAACATACCTGTCTATCTGTCCATTTAACAACCCCCCACCTACCTGTCTATCCACCTGCCACCACACCTACCCATCTGTCCATCTACCCCCCTCCCCGCCCCCCCCCACACACTTACCTGTCTGTCAATCTACCCCCCCCCCCACACACCTACCTGTCTGTACATCTGCCCCCCACCACCACCACACACACCTACCTGTCTGTACATCTGCCCCCCCCCCCCCACCCACACACACCTACCTGTCTGTCCATCTGCCCCCAGACCACAGGTGTAGAGCTGCCCACTCTGGGTGAGTATTGCAGTGTGGTCCTGGCCACAGATCACCTGTCTGATTTCCTCATCAAATGGCACTTTGTTCACTAATGGGTTGTGGCTGCAAGGAATGGTAAAATAAACTGAGTAAATACTTTTATTATTTTTATCTTCAACCTCACACACACAATGAAGAGAGTACTGTTCTCAGAAAAAATGTTATGATGCTTTACACATGGACTTTGACTGGCTTATCAAATGAACCAACATCAACTTAGTTTTAGGAGTTTCAAATCAAAAGGTTGACAGCAAAGACATGACAAATTAATACAAATAATGTATATCAATATACTTGTCGACATACAAATCAAACTTATCTGAACATAAATAATAGATCTAGCAACTTCCATCACATCTTACACTGCCACATTTTGCACAACTGTTTTATGATCATAATTATTATCTATACTCACCCAAACACATCCAATCGCTAACACCTTCCCCTTTTCCCACAATTTTTTACTTATTTCTAATGATATCTACTCACCTATACTCTTCCCCTTCCACAATTTTCCTTCCACACTGCCCACAGCTGTTGTTGCCCAAAGTGAACACTGGAAGAAGAAGTAATTCAACTGATTTAATAGGGAATCTCAAGATTTAAAGTGAGATTTAAAAAACCTGTTTCAACTTTCCATAGAAATGCCCACGTCAAACAAGCCTTTTAAAACCATAGCAACCAATTATCTGATTTACCTCCCTCTGTATCCGTGGCAACCACAGTGTGTGCCCTCCCACATGCCACATGGGTAATTTTGGTTTTCTCTGGGAATTGAAATGGTAACAGAATGGGTGCAGGCTCTATCAGGTAGTCTAGGAACCTCCCTGTAATGAATAATTGACAGTACGTTGATATTTTCGTGAGTGTTTTACTGGAAGAGTAATTTCTGTAGTTTACCTGCTTAAAAAAAAAAAAAAAAAAAAAAAAAAAAAAAAAAAAAAAAAAAAAAAAAAAACAAACAAACAAAAAAAAAAACCGAGGTGGGATATAAATCAGCATTTAACAACTATGGGCCTCATGAAAACACTGTGAAGCAGTGTGGGGTTATATACCTACCCGATTCCTTAGGAGCCTCATGAAAACACTGTGAAGCAGTGTGGGGTTAACACTGTGAAGCAGTGTGGGGTTAACACTGTGAAGCAGTGTGGGGTTATATACCTACCCGATTCCTTAGGAGCCTCATGAAAACACTGTGAAGCAGTGTGGGGTCATATACCTACCCGATTCCTTAGGAGCCTCATGAAAACACTGTGAAGCAGTGTGGGGTTAACACTGTGAAGCAGTGTGGGGTTAACACTGTGAAGCAGTGTGGGGTTATATACCCACCTGATCCCTTAGGAGCCTCCTGGTACCCAATCTGTGAGTCGGAGTTGATGCCTGTCCCCAAAATCACGTGACCTTCACCTGACCTCTTAGCTACAAACACAGTGAAGCCGTTGCCACAAGCTGCGCTGATAGGCTGGTAGTTATTTGTTTCGAGAAACATAAACCTGCCAGGGGAAACAAAGCTTTATATATTGTTGAAATACCCAATCAAATACTAGTAACAGAAGCTACTATTATTTTGGGTCATCTTTACTTGGTTAAACAATGATATTTTGTCTATTCACTTAATTTAAACATTTTTCGTAATAAATGCTATTGAACAGCTATTGTGAAGAACACATAAAAAAAATGAACAATGACATTTTGCCCCTTAATTATAGCATATATAACTATTGTATTTTATCTTTTACATAATCATGAAGCCACTTAAAATGACACATATTATCTGCATTTTGTCACCTGTGGGGGAAACTCTGGACCAGCTTGGGGTATTTTTTACCCTTGAGTCTCAGGAAGGTTGGCAAACCTAAGAAAAAAAACTGATTAAACCAAAGTTACAGACAAAATGCAGAGAGTGTAGGTAAGTTTCTGAACAACATGTCAAAAAGTTTAAATTACAACATAAAGCAGATATTGAAAACATCATCTGTTTTGTTTAACCACATACTCATACCCCACCCTCACCTTCATATAAGACCCCCATTCCTGTGTTTCTCCCCAAACCCTCAACTAAGACCCCTCCCCCCCCCCCCCCAGTTTCTCCCCAAACCCTCATCTAAGACCCCCAGTTTCTCTCCAATTAAACCCTAGAAGAGACCCAGCCCTCACCTAAGGCTCCTACTCCTGCGTATCCCCATACATACACTCTGGTGGAGCGTGCTGGTTCAGCAGAGGCATACTGATACACAATCTCCTTCTTCCTCTCCCTGTCGTACACTCTTGTCATCCACTTTGCCATAAAACGTTTCACTCCCCCTCCTGAGTGTGGCAGAAGAGGGTTCCCTAGTGAACATACTCCCTCACAGGCCACTCCAGCTAACAGGTTCCTGTGGCTCACTGAGTACCTGCTCTTCCAGCTGAGGCTCTTTGTGTGAGTTGACAGAGTGTGCAAGGGTTGAACTCGGTTCACAGTACTGCTGACCCCCTCATGGGGCCTCTTTAATAGCACAGTCTGCAGAGGCCTGTGTGGAGTGGTTATGTTTGTCTGTGTGCCCCTGTGAATTACTTGACAAGATGCACTAGTCCTGACATTGCTTAACTTCATGCTGTGATCTTGAGATCCAGGGGTTTGTGGAAGTTTGGTGTAATATGGCAGACTTGCTTCTGGAGACGACCCTATACGTTTAGCGTGGCATCGGTTACAAGTAAAGAATGGCGTGACAAGACAGTGTTCTGTTCTCATTGAGGACAAAAACCCTTTCTGAAATTGTAAAGGACACAAAATAAATTCCAAGACATATTTATCTATAATTTAAAAAGCTGAGTGATAAATTATATTCAATTAATATTCCTAGTTTCCAATAAAATAAGCCATTTCATATTTATATAGTGATGTCTTTGAAATTGAATTTTGTAAAAATAAATCCTGGTGTCTGTCAAGACATGTCTTATAACCAAAACTAGGAATATGAACCTTAAAACGAGTACAGAAGTGAGTAAGGCTTCGTTCACATGCANGAGGTGAGTAAGCTCCCGTGAGTGAGTTGGGGGGGGGGGGAGTGTAGTTGTTGTTTCATTGGACATATTGAGAAAACTGACTTTTGCCAATGACATACACATAGAGAGATTCTACGTGTTGTTATAGAGTTCACATTTTTGTTTTCCTTACCCTCCATATAAACCTCAGTATATTTGCATTTTGCCCTAAAGCATGATACGACGTGGGCGCAGCCATCTTTAAAATTACCCCTAGTCAACTGGTGAAATGTTTAATTTATAAAAATTGTAAATACTGCACCAAATGAGAAGTGTTTTTTAAAGTTATGGTTTATAAAACAATTTAAAATGACTTTTTGATATCTTTATGGGTACTACTTTCCAATACATATGGTTTTGAAAACATACTTCTTCCGTATATGGAAGACTATGGTAAGACAGGTACTTCCGGTTGTGAAACTCAACGCACCGCTTCGCATCATTCAAAAGTTTTCAAGCTTTTATAGCTTGCTGGAATCGTAAGTACATTATTTTATAATTTCATTAGTATTTCGGTAGCATAGTTATACTGCAATCGGGTATCTTGTCATCATGGTGTCTCTATTTTTCCGTGGCGGGCAAGGTGTTACAGAGCTTAAACAAGACGACAGCTGATCAAAATTGGCGACAAGAGATAACAAGACACTTTTCAGTATTTTTATTCAACCCTCGGTAGTCTTGACCACTTCTGTCTTGGGATGAATTAGCACTTTTACGCCGATGAAAGTGTGACTTTGGTGCTACAAGACATATACGTGTTTTTAAAATCTGAAAGAAAAAATGACTGCTGTTCGTTCTAGTGTGTTTGTTTTGCCTTGTTGCATCAAGGGTTCATTTGATGTGCAGTTTTTAATCTGTGTGTAATAACTATAACTTGGCATTAGGCGACTGACTGTTGCAGTAGAATGCATTGATTATTCAACAATGTTTTATCTTTGTCAAAATCGTGTGCTGTATATTTATTTTATTGTATTATTTTATCATGTAAGTTATCCCATATGTGCAACACCCTTTACAAGGAAATAAATTGTCTGTGAACTGTCAGTGATGAATGAAGCATGACTTGGTCCATGAGGAAATACAAATAACCATTTATTTTCTTATCACATTTACAGAATAACTTTGTTCATGTAATTTTTTGACTGGAATACTGTGGAAGAAAATTAATGACTTTGAGTAGAAATAATGACTGAGACCTCAGTAATACTGTAGGGCCATTCCGTGGTATTTGTGTCCTGGGCATAAAATTTTCAAATGTACAAAAAATCAATCAAAAGTTGCATTTTCTGAAAGAAGAGACTTCAGGGGATAAGAATTTGTAAAAGATTTATCTGTATTTTTTGAATTCATGATTTTATAGCGCGTTAAACTTGAAAAATGTGAAAATTAGCCTTACGGACGGAATTTTTTATTTTTTGCATATAACACTCAAAATAAATTTAAATCAATATCTTTCAATTGAGACATAAATTACATCAATTCCTTGAGGTAAACACTTAAGAAATCAAGTAAAATCTTTAAAAAATAGTTAATTAATCATTAATCCAAAGTCATTTTTTCCGTCCGTAATGATTTGGGCTCTATTTTTTAAGTTTTTTTAAAGACTACTTGGCAGAAAAAAATTTCCTTTCATATTCTCCTCATACTAGTCCTATGTTTACCAAATATCCAAAAAAATTTATTTTAAACATGTTTGAAGACAAATTAATTTCATAATAAAAAATCATTACGGACGGAAAATTAGCATTACGGACGGAAAAGCATAGCTACCTGGCTATAACATTTCTACTGAGTGGTTTCATGTGGCATACTCAAGTAATTGATTTATGAATTTTAAAACTAAAGAATAACTGTTTCTCTTATAAAGATTAATTAAAAAAAAAGGTTACTCAAAAATGCAGGATTTAAAGTCAAAAAGTGCTTTTTCTTACCTGGCAAAACTTGTCAACATCTGTCTCTCTTGTCAATTAACGGCATTTGAATTGCACCTTGAGGATCACTTATGATCATGGCTTCTCCTGGATATTTTCAGTTACTTTTATTGCAATTTGAAGATAAAATGTGCTTTTGATCACTTACCTCTCATATACATGTTGCATATACCTGGGAGATGAGCAGTTAAGATAATTACTGACCGCAATTAATCAAAGATGACTAGAGGACAGGCCTTTGTTCTGGCACCATGCCACTTACCTGAAATTATCTTTTATCCTCAGAACCTTTACTTAGGTCAAATTATATTCATAGATGGTGGTGATTTAGAAGTAACTTTTCTCCGAGCAAAGGACAAGTAAAAAAGAACTATTTGCCTTTCCTTCTCAAGAAGACATAGGGTGGATTTCCAGTGACCAAATTATCAGACTTGTACCATTCCCTGTGATGGACCAACGCCAGAGATACAAATTCTGTTGGTCTTAATGTGTCAGAATAAAAACAAACTATTTAAACTTTAGCATGAAAATATTAAGCTTTCATCTCAGTATAAAAGCAAGGCAAAATAAGAGTATAGAGAAATACAGCAAAAAAAAGTAGTGTTAATAAGATATTTTTATTTGAGCAATTTCGATAGAAAAATTGTATTTACTATTTTTCTCATTTAAAGAATTAGTTACAAGGAACTTTCTAGTAGGTTAATAATTTTTAGATTCATACCTTTTCCATTAATTGTTGAAAGTTTCAAACCTCATTCTCCGAGTGCCACAACTCATTTGTTATGGACCTTAAAATAATTGATACAATTGATATATATATTACTGAAGATCCCAAGAATTGATTTACCTATCCATATTCTTAACATCTTACAGGTATTATTATATCATTGTTAAACCCAAAAACTGACAGTATCAAGTAATTCAACATCATGGATAAACAATTTGTAAACAGCAGTTCCAATATTTCAGTCTAAACAATGGCTCGCGGACAGCAGAAAATCCAGTCCCAGCAGAAGAATGCGGAGAAGCAGGCCAAGCTGAAGAAGGCACAATCTGGAGACCAAAAGAAGGCTGCTGCCAAAGCTCTGACATTCAAGTGCTCTGTGTGTATGGTAAGTACCGTCTCTCATCCCAGACATGCTGAAAACTTTTCAGAACGGCCGAACATTTGGATCGGCAGCAATGAAAAATTTAACGGACCAAATAGATTTTTGTCGGACCAAAAATCACTCTATTCGTTTGAGACAGATACTACAAGTACGATTAGGGTAGCTTACTTTGTTTATGAATGTGATAGTTTTGAAATGGAAGGGAAAATTGCTTTGGGTTTCATATAATTTTATTAGTGAAGTATGTCGAATGATGACTGTAAATTCAAAATTGCGGCTCTTAAAACTCCTTTGGACTGACCACGTCCAATTTTTTACCGCCAGACAAATTTTCCCTTGTTGATCTCGGTCCCAGTTTTGTATGGACCAGACTGTGTGTATGTGGAACAACGCAACATTCACATGTTCAATAAACACTGAACTTTATTCAACACCTAGCCATTATACTAATGCATCATGGGAACGGAACACAATGTCAGAGGTCACGGTCTCAACTAACACAATCATCAACAGTCATGACTGATCGGACCAACAGTTTCAGCATGTCTGTCACCTCCCCCACTCCTTGTTTACTGTGAAGACTTGATACTTAAGCAGTGTTTTTCAATGTGTAATATTTTGAAAGCTTGTTCAGAACTACTACAAGTATTTCACTGGAAATTGTACCAAACGTTGTGTGTGATGTTGTTAAACTGTTATTATATCATTATTATTTGTTAAAATTTGAACTGTACTTGTTTTGTTATGGTGGTTTCCCCATTGCCGTCAAAGTTATTTGATTTTCATGATAGAAAATTAAAGTAAAATGGCTCATTTTAAAGGACAGCACATCAAAATATTTTTCTGTTGCAATATCAATGTAATCGTATCCCCAGTTTACCACTTTCTCTCCTAGGCTCAGATGCCAGACCCAAAGACATACAAACAGCATTTTGAAAATAAACATCCGAAGGCCACTTTGCCAGATGAACTGAAGGAGGTGTAAAGTGAGGTATGGTAAGGTAGCTTAAATTATCACAAATTATGGAAAAACAATGTATAAATCCTATACAGCTTATTTATTCTCAAATTTTCAAGAGATGTTTAGCATAACGTAGTGTTTGATTACAACTTCCTTAAGCCCCCTTTACACTGGACGTCATATCTTCTGTGGCCCATAGTATGGCCTTGTTTGAGAGTAAAAAAATACTTAACGTGCTGACAACTAGCTGATCATTGAGCATTCATTCTCCAACCAAAGTGATGCTTGTGCCTCCTTTCTATGACCACAGCGATGCCAGTTTCATGGTCGCAGAAAGGAATCCATCCAGTGCAAAGGGGTTTCACCTCGTCCTACTGCAACCAGCATCATTGTAGTAATTGTTGAAACTGGTGTGGGAGAATATTGGGACAATTTCTTGTCTATTGATGAATCAGTGTGTGTTTACCTTCTAAAATGATCCAACAGACGCTTATTTGCTCCACGTTCTTATTGAAAAACTCTTGGCTAACTGTTGTATGTTTTTATTTCAGACGAGAAGCATGCCCATGGTTAAAAACCCTCCATTCTGGTTAGAGTAATAGAACAGGGAAGACAGCACTTCCACCAGTTTTATCATTGACGATGACAGGGATTTATTTGACACTTTTCACCGTTCAGGATAAACAGCTGGGATGTTATTGGACCCATCGACCAATAAAAGGAAAGGTTACCAGTTGATATTGCCATAGAGATTGATTCTGTTGATTGCAAATATACTTACATAAAGATGTTTAAAAAAACAAAAGAGAGGAGTACTAATCAGATATGGAGGAATTGACAGGGCAGAGACTTCGAAGCATTATCATAAGTCATTAGTTTTAGTTTCAAAACATTTGGTTCATGTCAGCCCCAGATAAAGAAAAGAAAAATTATCAGTTTTCTCTTTCATATATGATGTTTAATACTATTGACCTCACACTGCTCTCTGCCTCATTTTCAAGGGACACGCATACTTGTCATATAGCATCAGTTAGAGGCTGGGTGGAGGTTGACCTAGTTTCATATCAAACTCCTGCTGTCCATATACACCATTGCATTCTTCTCATATAATTATACACATCATCTTTTATAATACTGATCTCTTACAGGAGAAAAAGTTCTAATTATCACTTTTAAAATCATTCAGTTTGTCAAGTGTTATAACAGTGTTGACAGATTGCAACTGACCATCTTGTTACTGTCATAATTACTAGATACTTCAGAATAGTTATTGGTTTTCACAACACGGTGCCAGTGTGCCATTAAAGAGTGTCTAGTCATTATTTTGGAAATACCTTCAAAGAACTGAATCATTAAGCAATAGCCATGCAAGCCATGGTAGTTTATATATTAATGTATTATGTTGTTTCCATGCCAGCATAATGACATTACTTATGGCAGCAGAGGAGGGTTTCTAATTCTCCCTTTAAGTTATGAAATGATTTCATTGTATCACTGATATTACTGGGCAATATGGCCTCACGTGGACCAAGTCACCTATACAGCCAGGGGTTGGTTTCTTCACTATGTATTTTCTAGAAGTTAACGGCTAGTTGGAAGTAGGACTGCAAGTTTCAGTATCCATAAAATTCACAATTATCCCCCATTGAAAATATAGTTATTAACGTAGGCCACTTCCATGCACCATTAATGACAGGTTGAGGCGTTCTGGCCATCTTTACCTTTTCCTAACAAGAAGTGAAATCTAAGATGGTTTTTAAATGTGTAAATTTCATACATTTACATTTGAGAAGTGCTCCATTCACACAGGTACTACTTCAGACCACATGTTGGCTTAAATCACACCATCAGATAACAAGGTTTCATAGTGTTTTTCATGCAAGTTTTTAGTTGTAACGACAGCAAAGCTTCCTCCAGAGAACCCTCCATCCTTTGGACTGCCATTAGCCTCAAAAGACGGCCTACTTGTCTGAAGATGGCTGGACAGCTTCCAAAATTTTTGGGTTGGACTCCATGTAAATTGATGAACAAACTACAGTGTAACTTTTTGGACTCCCTTAAGTTGTAATTTAAATCCTGGGGAAATCCCTGATTGACAGAGTTTCAACCAATTGTTGGTATGAAGTAGTCCCTGTGTGAAACAATTTTCAGATTCCATTTGTCATATGTCGGTTGGGGCTCTTGTACATTTCATTTCATGTGAAAGGTGAAATAAAGAGAAAACATTTTAAATGAGATGTTGTTTTGGTCATTAACAAAAATGATGGATAAACTTATTTAGAACAATATGAGATAAACATTTTCAGGTTTTATTCTGTTAAATGATCACATGAAAATGCAAGTGTTTATGTTCCATGAAAAAGGAAATGAAACGACATAAATAACTTGTTAATAACTTAAGTAAAAACTGAATCTTATTATTACAGAGTCATTCGTGACAGTTTATGTCAATCAGGTGATCTCGTTCTTCTCGATCCACTGGCATTTGTGTCACCTGACAGTCGTGATTTGTCACCTTGTCTGCTGCTGCTCCAGTGATGTTGACAATGAAAATGCAAGAGACTCCACTGAAAAACGCAAGAAAAAAAAATACTCAAATGACCATATTTTCAACATCAAAAACTGTCAGCAAATGATTGGATATTATAAGAGAAAGAGGCAAAAATGGCATTTGCTGTCCATTCACATTTAAATGCGGATTCTGTTTTTGAGAAGGATATCAGGGAATGCAGGCAGCATCAACTTGTTTTAAACCAGGCCACCTAATGCATACACTACCTAATAAAATGTGGCTGGTAGATACAAACCTATTACATATGCTGAAAATCAATAAATTTTATTAATATCCATAAAAAAAGCTAAACAAAACTTGATAAAGTATGATTGGTACTTACAGTGAGGGAAGGAGCCTCTCTTTATGACATTATTGAGGAAAGATGTTAAAAACTTCACACAGTTCTTGAATTCATCTTCAACGTGTTTCAAATACTTTTCACTGAAATGTCATAAGTTGGATGTCAAGAATATAATAATAATAATAATAATAATAAATAAATAGATACAAAGCTGTTACATATACAGAAAATCATTAAATTTCATTAAAAATTCAAAATCTTACAATTCTCAAATAATATGGCCTAAATTTTTTTATCACCTGATGTTATCAATCCCAGCATTCCACTTCTCTTGGAAACCAACTGCAATATTCAAGACCCGCGTCACTGTTTCCTTGATCATGGCTACTCGCTTGTGGAGCAGACAGCGCTCATGGATCTTACTGACGTAGTTATTGTGGATGTAAATCACCTGATCCAGATCCGTGGCGAGCTCGACCTCATTTTGAAACTCGAGCCCAGTACTGTGGAGAATCTAGGTTAGAGACAGAACAAAAATCATTAAAATCAATCCATATAAAAAATTATCAAACTGTGCCCATGTTAGAAATCGAACTGCACCAGAGAATGCAACATTGCTTTGAAATTCCAGTTAACGCATTAAAATGCACTTTAAACATAAAGTATGGAGGATATCACCTTCTCAATAATATCAAATTTTACTCAATTACCATATCTTTTTATTTAGGTGACAAAGGTTTTATCAAATGACATCACAGTAATCTCTTGAACAGGGTGATCATTTTTAAAAGAAAAAATTAGGCAGTAAAAACCAAACATTTTATTAACTGGGACCAATTTATTTAATAATAACCATAATAATAACAATGTCTATTCAGTCAATTTAAATTATGAAACATTTATACTAAGAATCTATCATAAGTTCTCAATACAAGTCAAAGGCACTACACATGAAAGTAAAGCTAAGATCCTAAGAATGAATATATTCACAGTGAAAATAAATGTAAGCTGTTCACAAAATGGATCTATTCAATCCTTAATCCTGGTCATAACATACAAAATTAAATGTAAACTGCTCATAATATGAATCTATTCATTTCCTTGGACAAACCTTACCCTAGTCATAATGTACTGATGTAAACTGTTCACAAAATGCATCAATCGCAGCCTGAATATTTGCACCCTGTGGATCAAGTTGTATGGCATGGTCTTCTCTGCTCTCTCTTCTTCTTCATTGCTTTCTGCTAAAGGATCTGATTTTTCTAGATCTGAAAGAATGTTTGGGGATCTCTTATTATCTTACATATTTACGCCCTCTCTCTCTCTCTTTCTCTCTCTTTGTGTGTTTGTGTGAACATGCATATGCAAACATGTACAAGTAGTGTGTGTTGGCATGAAATCTCTAAAGCTTCTGTGTGACATTACCTATTAATATTCTTACCATCAAATTTAAGACGATCCAAGCAAAATTTGGCACGCTTTATCTGCAGCAAGAACTGAAAAATCTTGTTGTAGATCTCCTGGCACTTTGTGTTAATAACCACATCCACTGGCCATGGTACCTGGAACACGGGACATGTACCAAATCAATTTTAGAATATTAATTAAAGAAAATACATAAAATAAAATAAAAATGAAAATAATGAAAAGAGGCATATCACCAAGATCCATTTATAAATATAGTCTAGCACACTTGAAACCAAAGGCACCAATCGTTTAAATATTGATAAAGCCCAATTCTAAAGCTGCTCATGGGACAAGTGTTGTCCTGTCTGACAGTGACTGCATGTCTGTCTGCGTCTTTCTGTCCCCTACCCCTATCTTTCTCTCTCTATGGCTGTATTCCCAGAGCTTTAGATCAATCTATCCCAGCGGGGAGTCTCACTAGATTACTGTCAGTTAATCCGGCTTAAATGTCCGTCCCGGCTACTACAAGCTGTAAGGGGGTAACTAACTTTCGTGTCCACTCGTCTGACAGCTATTTAGCAACATCACTGGAGCAGCAGCAGACAGCTATTTAGCGTGAACCCCCAGGGAGTTAGGTCAATCTAAAGTAGATCGATCTAATCTCTGGAAATGGGGTCCACTGTATGTGTGTGTGTGTGTGTCTGTCTGTCTGTCTGTCTGTCTTCCTGCACCCTCTCTCTCTCTCTCTCTCTCTCTCTCTCTCTCTGTGTCTGTCTGCTGCCTCCCCCTCGGCCTCTGCATGCATGGTTGTGTGTGTATGCTTGTGGCTGTCAGTCTTCCTGCTCCCCCCCCAAATCCCTCAGTATCTATCTGCTCCCTACCTTGTAATGTAGAGTCAGTCCCTCCAGAGCCTGAATAGGGTGTCGGTCACGTCCCTTCTCACCTGTGGACTGAACACTCACAAATAACCTGAATAATAACAATATCTAAATATAATCTATGCAAAATAAAGTAACCACTGTCCTCAATGGTTTCTAATGACCTAATGTAAGTAAGCGGTTAACTGTTTGGTTGATTAATATCATAAAACCTCTTAACAATTCATGATTGGTGAATCTCCAATCACAGGCCAATAAATATCACATGACCTATATATCAAGCATGTGATTGGTGGACTCAAGTCATGACCTACTTGTCAGCCTCCTGTGGGAAGTGTGCCTGAAGGGTGTCATGGAGAGCCACATTTAGGAAAGACATGTCCTGCCACTGTTCTTTAAGTTGGAGCTGAAATTTAATCAATTTTCAAATTATTTAAATCATATTTTAAATCAATTTTGCCTTTACTTACAAATGAATATTTCTTAACTTCACTCAACCAACTGTTCAGAACTGTCAGAAAACCTCTCTCAAGAAATGCTTATATGCTTAAATAACTTTAAGGAAGTATTTTGTTGTAAATAAACTTCATATAATCTTCTGTCAAAGTTTACCTTCACAAATATCTCTCTGTAGAAATCATACATGGTGTCACCTGCTTCCATCAGGAAAAATTTCTGAAATATTGTTTTTTAATGTTTTATTTGAATTTAGTCACCTTGTTTTATTCTTATAAAATCAATTTCGAAATACTGTATGCTTGAGAGGGAGAGATAGTAAACATGTATGTGCTTCTATCTACACTCTCAAGATACAGTTATTTTTAATACGCTTTTACCATTAAAACATAACTTCAAAGTACAAAAGCATCAAATTCTCTGTAGCATACATACCCTCACAGTCTCCATGTTGTGCAACATTTCGTAACCAGTTTTCAAAATGTTCAGTAACTACGTATGTTCACACTCTGTAGCATACTCATAATTTCAAACTTTAACAGCATAAAATTCCCCTGACGTAATAACTTTGTACACACTCTGTAGCATACATACCCTCATAGTCTCCATGTAGTGCAGCATTTTGTAGTCAGTTTTCAAGGTGTCCAGTAACTTTGTGCACACTCTGTTGTACTTCTGTGTAATGTGCGGGTACAAACAATGTCGGAGGACCACCTGGATTGGCTGCAATGTTTCTCCCTCTAACATGTCTGAAAAACTAAAGTATATTTTTTTACATAACTGCTCCCTGTCTTCTGTAAAATAAGTGATTCAACATGTTAAATGGAATTCTTCAGTTCTTGCCGATAATAAAGCTTTTAAATCAGTTTGTTTTCGTTTCCTTACGCTTTTCAAGATTATTGCCAGTGCATCGTAGAAGACTAGTGTTTGGCCAAATATTTGCCATCTAACTTAATTAAAAGCTGAGTGATGCATACGGTGTTCTCTGCTTCCTAAAAAGATGAAACTAAATAAAAAATCAAATGCAAAGGTTAAGGGCTCATTTCCAATGAAACTATCATCTATTGATCCAACTCTGCAGGGACTCTCGCAGAATGCAATCAGATTGAGAAATTAACACACCTCCTCCTGGAGTTGAGTAGAATACACCAAAGCTGTTGATTACATGAGTATGTTGGAAATAAGAGGAGGTGATCCGCTGAGTTGGATCGATGTAAGTAGATAAGTAGACCGATAGTTTCACTGGGAGCGAGCCCTAAGATTTACTGGTAGACAATTGCAATCTTACTTGTATTGTTCCATGTCTGTTTCCACCACATCCCCTGCTGTCAACCTGAATATCCCAGCAAAGTTGACCCTCAGCAAGGGATCATTGGTACCCTTCACCAGCATCTGTTGAGAAACATGAGCAGTGATGTACAGGGTGTTATGATTCTGTGGGCTCTGCTCCATAGGCTTGGAAGGCACATCTTGATGGACAAGAAAATCTCGTAAGTTTTCCACAAAGGTGTCATAGAGCGGCTTGGGGTGTGAACCTTATAAAATAACAATGATGAATTAAATATTACAATAATACAGGAGAGTGCAATGAGAGATATTTATTTGAACAATCACTTAAAATATGTATAAGTCTTTGTTGGCTCTCAAGATTGTCAGCAAACAATATATAATATATATTATGCCATATTTAAACTCTAAACTCTTGATAAACAGAAAATTTATTTTGTCACTCAAATATTGCATAAGGCATCCCATAGATGTTTTAAAACTTTTATCAATTTTGAACATGACAGAGATCAAAAGCTCTTTTATCACTTGTAAACTAAGCAAAAACTGATCACTTGAAATATTTCGGCATGCTATCAGCCAGCTTCTTCAGTCTCGCAGAGACACATACTGGGGGGAGGTGGGTACTGAAATTGAGACTGATAAAGATGGATAACAGTGCTCACCCTGCCCACCTTCTACTACATCAAGCAGTCTCCCAAGGTTCTGAAACATCTCCATGGACTTCCCTGCGAAGATCACATGATTCAAGACAGGCCGCAGAAATGTGGGAGCCCAACTGGACTTCCTGTATGTCTGCTCATCACTCTGGGTAGTCCCCTCTTGGTTACTAGTGAACCCTGGTGTGATGTCCTCACTGCTTGAACTGCCCTCTACAGTTGGACTGCAATGTAGACTGAATGCTGTCTCCCAGAATTTTTCGTCCAGGGCTTTTACATTATCATTTCTATAAAAGAAAAATAATCAGCAATTTATCAATACAAAGTAATGAAAAATGGTTAAAAATATATTAATAAATAAATGAAAGCTTTATGGAGTTCTGCTGAGCTACAACAAATAACAATAATTTCTCCAGAGTGTTACATATACCTAAGGACTACTTATGAAATATTGGAGGATAACAAATATTGGCTATGCATTCACCTTTGAATAATGAATTCTTTGACAGGATCTGTGAGATTCCCATGTGTTATCCACCCATCTATGATGTCTATGTAAGGCTTGGCTGTCTGTATCCACAGTGGTAACAACAATGACACCTGCAAAAATATCATGAAATATGGTCAACAAAAGCTCCCAAAAAGTCAATAATAATAATAAATAATTGTATTCATTTTAATACAAAATTTATTAACACTCATGTAAACAAACATGTTTTTGTACACACACACACAAACAATATACGAAGAAAAGTACACTTTCTCTCTCTTAAGTTGGCACAAGCACCCATATAAATTCACACATACTCACAAGCACACACATACATACTCTCACATGCATGCATGCAAACACACACACACAAACACATCTGCACTTACTGTCAGAACCCCATCCTCTCCAGTGGAGTCATATTCACATATGGTGTCATACAGAGTGCTGAGGAGGTGAGAGGCCTGTTCTGAGTGGCTCCCCCTACAGTTGACAATACCCTCTTGGTGTACTCTGTGCAGGACCTCCAGCTCGTGGAATCTAGGTCGAAGGTCATGAGTCAAGGTCAGCAAGGTCATGGTCTCCTCTGGAAATTTGTCATAACACAGATTTTATAAGTTTTCAAAGATCTTGGCAACCAACATCTCATATCTCAATACAAGAATTAAGAGGGGTATATGTAAATGGAACAATTAATGTGGCAAATATATAATAATAATCAACAGTTCATTTTAAACATGCAATAACATGGTATACTGTTATGGCATGGTTAATGTGATGACAGTATAAAAATCCTTATACCTCTAAAATATTCTTTTTAGCACTGAACACAACTAAATTCATCATGTACGAAAAAGTAATAAAAATAAAATTTAAATAAAATAAAATTACATAAAATAAAATGAAACTAGGAGCTAAAAGGATTATCACACCCACTGCCCACAGTGGTGGTACAAATAAAATAAATCTCCTACCCTGTGCCATGGCTTGTTTCTCCAATATAGTCATCTGTTTTTTCAAGTTTTGTAAATAGGTGGCAGTAGTGGTGGCATAGGCCTGGTGAGTTTGACTGACAGCCGCCGCACTGTTGTCATGGTAACTATTCATGAGCACTGCCTCCACAAACTGCTGCAGTTGATAAACTATGTTCCCATATGTTGCTGTTCTCCTCAGAAAAGTGAGCAAACTTTCCTAGAAGATCAATTTATAAGTGAAAGAAATTGGTGTAAATTGTTTTTTACCAGCAACGTTCAATTAACAGTCACATTGACTTGAAACACAAGCTGGTGGCTAGAAAAAAGTTCAGGAAAAAAACTTACCTGTGTTAAGTGAGAAAATTTAAGACCATCTCTGACAGCAAACTTTCCATCCCGGTCCAGAGTAAAGATGTAAGATTCAGGGACACCAGAAAGCAACCTTCAAAAAGAAAGAATAAACCCATCAGAATGACAAGTAGGTGTGGTTTCTGAAGGGGAGGCCAAGTACCTTAACAGACTCCAAAACAGTAACAAAAAAAAAAAAAAAAACTGTAAAAATATGGCATGGGTCCATGGGGTTGCCAGCAATGATCTCGATCTTAAAAGACATTTTTGGCTCCCAATTGTCAAAAAAATCTCAGTACTGAGGTAGAATTTTTTTGTGTATGTGTGTGTGTGTGTGGGAGGGGGGGGGGGGTGCTCTCACCATAGTGTCTCCCTGATGGCCTGTGTCTCTGTCACTAGAGTTGACCCCCTGTCATTGTAGAACAGGTTGCTGGATCTGAGGTGGATTTCCCTGCAAAAACATCAAAATATGAAATTTAAGTCAAAACTGGTAGCATGCTATGGCAATTGCTTATTAAGTTCAAACAGGCTTTTTTATTCAATTTAAACATCAAAATATAAGCCAAAACTGGTGGTCTACTTTGGTAATTTCTCCCCCCGTTTGAGCATTCCCTATTGCAGTATTTGTCAACATGATGTTCTGTTAGTGATATCATTAAGAGAATCTTAAGGTACATTCACACTTGGAAGTGCTCTTCCTGAGACACTTACACTGGGGGAAACTTGACAAAAATAAATATTAGAATAATTGAAGTGTTTGCCCTAATACTGAAGTATACCTTTTGGAAGTATCCAGCCTTAAACCACAACTATCTTTAGTATTTCAAAAATATCAGTAAGTTCAATATATTACTAAGCTGTTTTCCATCTTAAAAATAAACACCTACTCTACAGAGGTACAAATTAAAATATCACATCAACTACAATTCACATCACCACCTACATCTCTCTAGATAAACTTGCTGAATACTGGAAACTATGAACAGAGTGGTCGCTGCCACCCCTCCAGTACTGAACCACCACATTTCTGGTCAGCCACGACTGCCCCGTGTCCACTATGGCCAAAGTCGACCTGGACGGATCTTCCTCAACTGTGATACCAGAGTCGTCTAGGGCCACCACGGCCTCTCTCTGGCCTACATGTGGTTGCCTGTCTTCTTCTTCTTCCTCATCTTCAGACCACACCTTGATATATATATATATATATATATATATATATATATATATGAGTGAATTAGTTAATGAATGAGTAAATAAATAGAATGAATGAATAAATAAATAATGGAATGGATGAATGAATGAATAAATGACTGAATGAATAAATAAATAAAAACATAACAAACATCTGCTATAATGGCTTGACATCTTCTGTTTGTCTCTGCAAATGACTGGACAGGAAATCTGAAGTGTGACCTTGATTTTGTTTTTAAGTCACGTGAGCAGGCTCTTATTTGAATCATTCTCTGCTAAACTGCTTATCTTGGAACATTAATAGTACTGAAGTCAGTAAGGGGTCATCCATTGGGAGAGGGGGGATTACTGTCCTCTGTATGCTTTTGAAAAATAAAAGAAATGATGATCTAAATTGATGTCAAAGGTCATCATTTTATCTCTTCACATTGTGCACTGTGAAAGGGGGGGGGGGCTGGAAAAATCTTCCATCTGACTTGCTAAAATTATGATAAAAATGGATGACCCCTTTAAGTTAAGGAGACTGAATTCATACCGGAGACTCTGGGTAAGGCCCATCAGGCTCTAGTCCCTCCATCAGGTAGGCACCCCAGTCAAAGACCTCCACCTCCTCTGGAACACAATGATACATACATCAATCTGACTTCTTTTCACTAGAGGAAATTACCATGCAAAATATTCATGATAACGAGTAATGTCAAATAATCATTTGTGGTAAAAATAGCAGCAATCTAACTTCATTTATCATGGTATATATGTAGACAGTACTTAACCTGGCTCATATGATAACTCACTCTTTGTTCCCAGTGTGTTAGATGTGACAGTGTGTCACTGTGTACCTCCTCTTTCCAATTCTCCTGATATGTGAAATGTGTTATTGTTATGTCTATTGCATCAGATGTGACACTGTGTCACAACTAACACAACTGATGTTTCACTTACCCTGTACCTCCTCTTTCTGACCTTCCTCATATGTAGACCGTGTTGGAGCATCAGCCAGAGTCAAAAGTAATGACAGCAAGGCATAATGGGTGTCTGTCTAAAAAAAAAAATGGCAGAGACAAACTAGTAAGTAGGTAAACCAAATTTATTTTTAAAAAAATCACCCAATTCAACAAGCTTTTTGAAGACTTTGAAAAAGCATCTACAGGTTTAACGGACTATTTTCTAGGATATATATATAATTAATCACTTTTGACCAAACTAAGACCCTTATTTTCTACAATTAATTTCTACTTGTGCAATTTGAAGGTACACGTAACTTGAAGTATTTTCAAATTTCATTTAAATTTAGTCTCTTTTCAGCTCAGGTCATGTATTCAATGAAAATAGGACTTCCAGAGATGTTTCACCTACTTTTCCTTCTGTTTTGCCCTCAAACACTGGACTGGTCAGGAAACTGTCTGTGAGACTGTTGAACTTCTCAGCCTCCACATGATTAGAGTGGATTCTCAACTTTTCATGAATGCTGTGAAAAATTTTTTTAAAAATAATTTTCATTTAGCGATAAATAGGACAGAGAATGATAATGTGGTAATAGTAAGGCTATTACTAATTCATTCTTTGTCAACACAAACTAAAATTTTCAGTCCAGTTTGAGATAACAATGTCATAACTTGTGAAAGTAAATAAATAACTAGAAACCCTCATTACAAATACCAGTAAAAGACTTTAATTTCTGTTTGGACCAAAAGATCTTGAAATTCTGATGGCCCACTCAAATGGCCTTGTGGGCTGAAGTGTTTGTAATATTTATTTTATTTAGTTTTAATATAAACACGTACCCCTTTAGTGCTCTGGATACCTTATGGCTGTCCACTGCCAGGAACCTGTGATACTTGAAGTTGGACAGAGCAAACTGGAGACACAGGTCATAGTTTTCTTCTCCTTGCTGAAATATAGATTTATTTATTTATTTATTTATTTATTTATTTATTTATTTATTTATTTATTTGTTGCATGCCATTAGCATGTGGTCTGTGATGTTTATCACCAAATGATTATGAAGCAGACTATTTCAGTGTGCCATGGTGCTTTGATAAAACAAGGACAAACTGAGAACCTTGAACAAGATCAAGTTAGTGTCTTGAATTGATCACACTAAACTTTCAAGCTTTCATTTTTAAAAATCACGAACAATCTTTTCGATGTCCCACTAACGAATTGTTCCTTAAAATTTTAAGTACCTTAAATATCAATATACACATTCAAGCAATACTTTATCACTTATGGCTTTTAACTGTTGCGGTTCCGACTCAGTGACAGTTTCTGCCCCCCCCCCCCCCCCCCTTCTCCGACAAAATATAAACAAAAATCAAGAAACAATTCCTAAACTTTATCACTTTGGGTGTGCTATGAATTTATCGTGGTAAGACAAAAATAAGCAACCGTGTTGTTCTTGCTGTGCATCTCACCTCAAAGCCGGCTATGGCGTTGATCAATTTTCCAGTTTCTTTTTCAACTTTTACCCACCGCGCCATTTTCATATGTTTTCATGTCGCTAGAGGGCAGCTGTAACGTGTAAGTCCCGACATTTTGCAATTCATATCTATATTAAATTAACATAACATGTAAAGAGCACAATAAGTCAAATTTTATTAATGAAAAATATGAAAATTGTCAAATTTAACATTATTACTTTTATGACATTTATACACATTTGCGTAACACTATTTGTTGCGGAGAAGCAGTCGCTGTTTCGGCCATATTGAAATTTATGTAAGCAAAGTTTTAAAAGATGGGAACTCTAGCGAAGATTACACCTGTTTTTCGTTGCGCTCTTGGTAAGTCACTGCATAAGAAATTACAGGAATAATGAAAAGAGAACAATCTCTACATAAAATACTAAGATGTGAAGCAGACATTTCAACATTTTGAGGAAATGTTAGCTGCAAGTAACTTGCACCAAAAAGGCGAAATTTACGTTCGCAAGACCAAGTAAGAAAAGAGATCTGTTAGATGACATTTGATATTTTGAGGCCCTATGATTCAGGACTGATGTCTTAGACAACTACCATTACATTACAATTTCACTAGAGAGACGACACTGACTAATTTACAATCCAACTTTTCACATTGTGAACATTAAGTTTCTTCCACCCAGTAATCTGTTTCTAGACATCTGGAAGTTATTTTGTCTTGTTTTTGTTTTCAGTTCCAAAGTCTTGCCTACCCTCTCTCTCAGCTGTAAGGCACAATACAACTGCCACCAAGAAGGAGGAAAAGGTAGAGTTATGTGAAAAGTTACATAATATTCTGCCCATATGAAAAGGAATTATTTCAAAACACTAGTCTTCCTTAGCATGAGTTGATGAAGTAATTCACTGAGTAAATATACTTTTTTCAGACAGTCTTTGGACCCTTGAAGGATGAAGACAGAATATTTACCAATTTATATGGCCGCCATGACTTTAAACTGAAGGGAGCATTGCAGAGGGTAGGTGTATCATAGGACAACTTGATGTAGCTTTTGACATAGTAACAGTTACAAAGTCTTAAAAGCAAGGTTTTCCCCAGAGAGTCACCCAGCAGTCATTCGGATGGCCACACTTGCCTCAAAAGATGACCAGATGGCTTAAGGAATTTTTAGAAAAAGATGGGGTGGGAACCTGACTTGCCTGCTTTAGTCTCCTTGTAAATTGGTGACGAAATTACAGCTTTACTTATTGGACTCCCTGTACTGGAAATTCTGAGGACACCCCTGCTTAGAAGACTCCATGCTGAATTAGCTCAAGTAAAATGTCACTGTTGTAGCTAGCTTTAATTGGTTGTAGTAAATACTGTAGTAATTCACATATTTCCCAACCCACACTGAGGTATTGTAGTCTGAGCACTTATAAATATTGAAATTTGTTAAACACTAAAGAGTTCCTTTTTCAGATTTTAAAGATTATCACTTGTAGTTTTAAAAACAGCAATTTAATTTTTTTTCCTGAGATTGTTTATGGATCATATCTTTTTGTACTCTCTGGGCATTTTTTTGTAGATGGAAAAATTGATTTAATTATATTGAATTTCATTCTCTGAGTGCTGCAGTCTCTCTGGTTGTAGGGTGACTGGTACAAGACCAAAGAGATCCTGTTGAAGGGACATGAGTGGATTCTGAAGGAGATCGTAACGTCAGGTCTCCGTGGCAGAGGTGGTGCAGGTTTCCCAACTGGGATGAAATGGGGATTTATGAATAAACCAGATGATGGGAGGTGAGCTTTATAGAGACCAATGTACATTTTAAAAGTATTAATGATATAGAGTGTGTTGATTTCTAAGAAACTTAAAACCAGGACCTCTCATTCTAAACATTTGATTAAAAACTTTAATTTTGTTTTCTTGTTGCTCATCAAACTAATAAAAATATTCTGATTTGAACCAATCTTAAATGGCAAAATTATTGGTAATTTTTTGCTTTTTCTGAAACAATCTGGAACAGATAGCACTCAGTATTGAGTGACTGTGTTATAAAAGAATGTCCGCTTGCACTACCGCTGGACTCCTTCGTTCTAAGTACCACACAACATTCATAACTTCAGGCCAAAATACCTAGTTGTAAATGCAGATGAGGGGGAACCTGGCACATGTAAAGACAGAGAAATTATGCGACACGACCCGCACAAGCTCGTTGAGGGTTGCCTGGTCGCAGGTCGGTCTATGATGGCACGCGCGGCGTACATTTATATACGTGGAGAGTTCTACAATGAGGCATGTGTGCTTCAGCAGGCAGTCAAAGAGGTATGGTGGCTTTTGGATTGATTGTGACCAAACCTTATATACCTAAGTGCACAGAACATAATGAGATGTATTCAATTTAAAAATTATACCAGATGTATGATGTGGATTTAACTTAAAGGGATAATAACTCTTCATATGAGATCTATATTTCACAATAAAAACATTGTGAATAACTCATAGAAATATAATATATTCTGTTTTACCACAAAACCGGCAGTTATAGCTATTACTCTGATATCTGAGCTTGTCTTTAGACGACGTAACCTCCATTGATGGCTATACTGAAACTTTTTAGAAAAAAACCAGGGACTAACTTTGAATGTAAAAATGGATTCATTAACCATTTGTAAGTATGAAAAAATTGTTGTTCACTCCAGAAAAATTCATTTTTTGGCCGAAACGAAGAGTTATTATCACTTTAATAACAAATGCATGTTATACCTGATGTAATTTTGAGTATTGAATATGGAAAGACATTTCATTCATTTGATGTGTTATTCCAGGCGTATGATGCTGGTTTAATTGGCAAGAATGCCTGTGGTTCGGGTTACGACTTTGATGTCTACGTGTTCAGAGGAGCAGGAGCCTATATATGTGGTGAAGAAACGGTGAGTATTGCTGTCTGGGTTATATAATTATGTGGTGAAGAGACCAATAACACAACTGTCTCAGTTTGCTTAGTAAACATATCTGACTATGAGTTCACAGGTCCAGGTCATTTTTGGTCTTAAAATGTTAACATGAAAGTGTACACACTGAGATCTTAGCTTACAGGTAAACATTGAATTGGCTAAGCAAAAAACTTGCTAGCATTTCATGGGCATGCTTACTCGTGAACACGCAAATGCACACATGCAGGAGAGAGAGAGAGAGAGAGAGAACTCTGTTCACATATTACCTTACTCTGCTATTTCAGGCCCTGATTGAGTCTCTAGAAGGTAAACAGGGCAAGCCGCGACTGAAGCCCCCGTTTCCAGCAGACATTGGAGTATTTGGATGTCCTACCACAGTGTCTAATGTGGAAACAGTGGCAGTAGCTCCTGTAAGTACTTGGTGCCTAGCAGAGGTGGGGTTTACATTGAAGTTAGGTTGACCCATCTCAAGTTAGTAATTTGTGGCAGTAGCTCCTGTAAGTACTTGCTGTTAGAATTGCTGTCTAGCACTAATCGAGTTCACATTGAAGTTAGCAGACTTTACGAAAGGCGTCGGACCGTCGGACATGCCTGGCAAATTTCGTCTCGGTCCGATAAAAAATCCTGTATTGTCGGACCTTATGTCCGGCGGGTTTTCAAACTGACTGGGAATGTGTAAATATAAGGAATACGTTGTTGTTTCTTTTCTGGACGATATATTTTTCTTCATTCGAAAAGAGAGACGGAGTGAAAATCTCGGGGAGTTCCCAGCTAATTATACATAATTTATTAACCTCAGTTTCACTCACAAATACTATTTTGTGACTGGCTGAGGTTGGGGAATTCCTGAATGATGTAATGTACAGTCTCGTTTTCGTAATACTACACAACAAAATGGCCGCAACACTTGTGCTCGTGCTATTTGCGTTTTTAGAGACTTGATCCTCTGTTTTTTAATTATCAGTCGTATACAGTACTCATGGATAAGCCTTTTGCTTAGAAAATGACGTTGTTGAACTTTAAACACTTCGTTGGTGCAAAGCATGGCAAAAATAAAAACGAAGTGAGGAAGGGAAACGGAAGTTTAATAAAATAGTAAAGAAGGTAGGCCCTGGCGGACTTATAATCTTTAGGAGAGGAAAATAGTGTGTGCCGAGTGTCAGGAGTACTAAAGTTATCATTTTGATCGATAGCAACATAAATGTTACAGCTTTATTACGGGTTCTTAAATTATGGAACATATGTACGTATTTGCATGTACCGTTCATCACGAGTTGGAGAAGGTGCACATGAATTTGATGAAAGCTCACAGTTTGAGATTCTTTTTATAAAAAAAGAAATAAAATGAAGAAGGAACTTACACTCGGACTGGACAGTCCCTGTCAAAGCTTCAATTGGATGAAAGAGACTGTCTTACTGTGCTGTTTCAAAATGCATATGTTATTGCCAAAAACAACGCGTGAAATGGTTATCTGATTAACAGACGTTTTTATGGACATACATTTGATATTACTAGCTACACATTCTTTATACTTGTAATGTTTTTAGTCCTTGTGTCATTCCACAGTGTCTTTTTCATTAAATAAAAAACAACTTGTTATGCAAGTAATTTTTTGCCTTTTTTTTGTTTTCTTTCTTATTTTACTTTTTTACAAATAAATATATATCAAATAATTAATATTTGATTTAATGTCAATTATTTAAAACATTAGAAAATACACATGAAAACATGAATAATGGTTTATATTTCTATTATTTTACTTCGTTCTGACAGATTTTGTTTCGGTCTGACAGAATTTTCAAGCTTGTCAGACCGAATGTCTGACAGATTTTTTGGCCTTTCGTAAAGTCTGAGTTAGGTTTACTTATATTGGTATTATTAGAAGCAGTAACTCCCGTAAGTACTTGTTGTCTAGTAGAGGTGGGGTTTACATTGAAGTTAGGTTGACCCATCTCAAGTTAGTAATTTGTGGCAGTAGCTCCTGTAAGTACTTGCTGTTAGAATTGCTGTCCAGAACTAATTGCGTTTACATTTGAAGTTAGGTTTACTTATATTGGTACCACTAAAGACAGTGATTCCCATAAGTTCTTTTTGTCCAGTAGAGGTGGAGTTTACATTGAAGTTAGGCTGACCTATCTTAAGTTAGTAATTTGTGGCAGTAGCTCCAGTAAGTACTTGTTATTTATTTAGCAGAGGTGGAATTTCTTAACATTGAAGTTAGGTTTACTTATCTTGGTACCACAAGAGGCAGTGACTCACATAAGTATTTGTTGTCTAGCAGAGGTGGAGTTAACAATTGAAGTTAGATTGACCTATCTTGATACCACTGGAGGCAGTGACTCCCGTTAAGTATTTTTTGTTTAGCAGAGGTGGAATTGACATTGATGTTAGGTAGACTTATCTTGGTACTACTAGAGGTACTACTAAGGTCTTAATGGCTAGCAGCATGAAGAAGTGTTTACATTGAATATTATTTGTCATGTTTCAGACCATATGTCGCAGAGGAGGAGACTGGTTTGCTAGCTTTGGACGAGAAAGAAACAGAGGAACTAAGGTGAGTTGAAAATATAAATTTATCCATATTTATGAAAATGTAAATTAATGTAAATTTATGAAAATGTAAAATTATGTGATTTATGTAACAAGTATAGGATTCTGAAAGAGCAGAAGCCTTGAGAAACTTCTTTTAGCATTACATTTAAAAAGTAGATAAGTTTTATTGTCATGTTTGCCTCCCTTCTGTTGATTTTAAAATGAAGATAATTTTCAAGTATTGATGCATTTTTTCATAAGATAGCGTGTGATACCAGACCTTTTCAACTTGACATTTTGCAGGCATTTAACATGGCATTATCATAGCATCAGGACAAAATTTGAACTCGAAACAAAAAACAAATTTAAAGCAAATTCTAACTCTGCTTCCTATTTCACAGTGACTTTATTACATGTTCTCTGTTGCAGTTGTTCAACATCTCTGGTCAGGTGAACAACCCGTGTACAGTGGAGGAAGAGATGTCCATCTCGCTGAGAGAGCTGATAGACAGACACGCCGGGGGCGTCATTGGGGGCTGGGACAATTTACTGGGGGTCATCCCAGGAGGGTCGTCTACGCCGGTCATACCTAAAAGGTGGGTGCTGCCATTTTTGACATTTTCTGAAATTTTGGAAGTGTTTTTATTTTATTTTATTTTTTGTGTGAAAACTGAAATAAAGGACATGATTATCAAGTTACTGGTCGCTATGAACGTTGTAACTGTTATTACAATGTTTTGGTTAGGAGGTGATGATGGTATAGTTATTGTAATGTTTCAATGAAGAAATGGTAATGTTACTGTTATTGTAGTGTTTCAGTGTTGATGTTAGTTTCATTGTAATGTTAAGGTATTTGTGAAGAGGTAATGTTACTGTTATTGCAGTGTTACAGTATTTATGAAGGGGTAATGATGTTACTGTAATTGTAATGTTTCAGTGTATGTGAAGAGGTGATGATGGACTTTGATGACTTAGTACGTGCACAGACATCTTTGGGAACAGCTGCTGTCATCGTCATGAACAAAGACGCCGATGTAATCAGATGTATATCTAGGCTTATGGACTTCTATCACCACGAGAGTTGTGGACAGGTAAGGCTGCAGAACGGTAATAACTCTTGGATTTCAAACTGATAAGTAAATGGACTTCTGTCACCACAGGAGATGTGGACAGGTAAGGTTGCAGTACGGTAATTACTCTTGGATTTCAAGCACTTTAAATTAAGTAAATGGATTTTCACCACCTAAAGCAGTGAATGGAATCTTATAACCATCAGAGTTGTGGCCATTTATGTTCGTTTGCTGTATGGTAATTATTCAAAAACCATGCACACATAACCAGCTGATGGAATTAAACAACGTAGTAGTTTGAAAAGTTTGGCCTTCGTGATAATTCCTTTGATTTGCACGAACATGTGTTAATCCTTGAAAATGATTTTGAGGGGAAAAGTGCCTTAAAGAAAAATAATTTGAAATATTAAAGAATTAAATGTGAATATGTTTTATGATAGGAAGTGGCCTTCTTGTATTTCAGTGTACCCCCTGTAGAGAAGGTGTTGGCTGGATGGCAAAAATTTTACACAGGTTTGGTAAGTTATCCACACTGTATAAGCTTATTATAAACATTGCTCTCTCTCTCTCTATCTCTCTCTCACTTACAGACACACACACAATAACAAAACAAATGAGAAAACATCCTAATTAGGAAACAGTTTCCAAATAGTGTTGGGCCGCTGTCAAATGTAATTCTCTTGTGCATGGGGAGACCCATATTGAGGATAATCACTAGACCTGATGTGAACAACTCCCATTAGATCTCACTTTCAATGCTTTCCACTCTGCCACTTATGTGAATGTCTGTGATTTGTATAGGGTGTTTCACATTTGTTTCACATAAGTCGGTAACATCAAATGCTAGTTTCCTGTTAATTTAGTGTTTGACAAATTAAAAAAAGAATAACAGTAAGGATTTTCAGTTATAAATCTCTTCTTAAAACTAAGAGGACCATCTTATTCTGCCCATTATGTTAGCCGTCAAATTGAAGCATTATTTCATCCCATTGCAGTGAAGGGAAATGCCAGACCTGACGAGATCGACATGTTGTATGAGATCAGCAAACAGATAGAAGGTCACACAATCTGTGCACTGGGAGATGGTGCTGCATGGCCTGCACAGGTAAATCCTTCTCCAAATGATATTTTTACGTACAGACACAGATCTATGTCCAGATTATGTAATACTACTTTGTGCAATATCATTTTAAACTTAAAGTCTGTACACATGACAGCATTTTAAACTTAGTCTGTACACGTGACAGCTTTGCTGCATTTTTACAAGTTACAGTGAAGTAGAGTTTACAAGGTTTATGGATGGGTTTTTATGAAATGTTCAGTAAAGGTGTGGAGGTCCTTGTATTGCATGCACTGTTCCTAAACCTTGAAACACAGAAATTAACAAGGTGTGTTGCCTAAAGGAGGAAGCTTCTTGTATCAAAGAATCAGTTTTGTTTCAACGTTATTGAGATTTCCCTATGATTTTCCAGTTGAAGGTTTGAAAACATTTACCTTAGAGTAGGAGTTGTAAAACCCAGGGGCTCATGTTCAGTCCATAGACACAATTTAACCCAGTTGATTTTTTCTCATGATTTTAAAGGTCGAACAATTACTTCTGATCTTAGGTTGAACAGCCTGTGACTTGGGGTGAAAGTAAAGACTCTTGCAACCAATCTCAGTTCTTGCCTTAATTTCTGGGTTTGATGCGTCGCTTCAAAATATCATTTCTTGTCATAATTTCAGGGTTTGGTGCGCCACTTCAGGCCTCAGCTGGAGGAACGCATGGCTCAGTACCACGCCGGGCAGGAAGAGAAACAGGCTGCCATGTTGTATCCTCATGCTTAAAACATGGCTTAAGACTTGAACTTTGTTTAATGTAACAAATTAAAAAAAAAAAAATGAACTTGTCCGACTTGGATGTTCTCGTAGAGTGGACATGACTGAACTCAAGTCTTGTACAATGTTTTGTGAAAGGAAGACGGAAGACACATGAATTGCTTGCTAGCATTTATGAATACCCAGGGAGGTAGATGGTTTTGGGTACACTGATGTTATCATACATAGACTAAGGAATGTGATAAGGATCATGTTCACATATGCAATGAAAATACCACAGATTGACAAGGGTTGTGTGACACTGATGTGAGCCAACTTGTCCATGAGGCATGTGTGGAAGAAATCTTCTTCAAAGTGAAATTTCGAGGAATTTTGACATTTGGAAATTTCTCCATGCACCTTTTGTTCCTCAAATTTAAATCATGCAGCATGTCTATTGGCTGCAAAGGAAAACATTTGAAATTTTGTTATTTATTTGCATACCTTGATTTAGGCCATAAGAAAATAATTCTTGGAAATGCACTTCATATTTTGACCATTACAGCAAAAGCACCATATATTTCATGAAGTGGACATTCGGTCTTAACTTTGTCTTCTGGATGGTTCAATTTTGTGTTGAAATAAAAGTTACAATGTAAATAATGGAAAGTCTTGTTACTGTGACATTGGTTTAAAACCTTTTTAAAACATTTTTCTTACCAACCTGAACTTCATATTGAAGAAAAATCTACAAATTATTATGCATTCACAATTAATGTTTATTTAAATCAAGAACAGAAGTTGGTAAACGAATGAGTTTAATGTCATTGTAATGATGCAAAAAAAAAAAAGGGGAAAAAAACAAAAATAAATGAATAAAGAAAAAATTAATAAATAAAACAATAAAAATAATAACCAGAAAAATCATCAGTTAACAATTAAAATTATAATAATAAGTATCCATCAGTTATCATTTTAACATAATACTATCCTAAACAAATTGTTTACAAAAACTTAAAGGCATAAATCTTCTACATATCAAAATAAATGTTTTTGATTGCCAAGCATTGGATACTTCAAATATTTTAAAATGACAAACATCTTAAATGTTGAAACTCCCCTTAGTTGTAACAAATTGAAAACTCGATATTCTGCCATGATTATGCCAGGTAATATCTGAAAAATATCAAAAACATTCTAAAAAGGAAAAATAAAATAGAGCAGCCTATGAAATGTAATGACAACTAATTTATAAATAAAAGCTTAATGATAAACGGAGACAATTATTGTCCAGAAATTAATATTGTTCTTGTCATTTCTGTGAGCTTATATGGCACTCATTCCATTTGATCTATTACAGTAAACTATGATTGTGTAATACTCTCCCCTTAATTACTCTGATTGTAAGTACCAGTAGCTGATTGGAACCCCTTTCAACATTATAACATAGGAAATACATAAATCATGTAAGAAGAAAATTAAGTAATATTACATATATGGAAAACACACTATCTCCATATTTCAAATAATGTCTTCTATTAGAACGAGCATAGACCACTATCACATGTTGTTCATTGCAGTAAGTATTTGTTCCTAGCAATAAAGAGATGAAATAAAATATATCAAAAAAAAAAAAAGAAAGAAAAAGAACTCAGCAACAAAAGTGTTTGGCTTATTCTTCAAGCCAAAACTACTTTCATTACAAAATAAGCTTTTCTTCTCATTTCTCTTGGTCCATGCATGATACATCTAGTGTTAAGAATGCCAGTTTCACTAAAAAATTATTGCCCTTTTTACAAAAATTGCACATAAAAAGGCAAAAAACACTTGTCTTCAGATATAAATACAAGGGCAAGTGTGGAATACAAGATACAAAGATCGCTGGTAAGTACTTAATAATGGTTGTAAGAATGGCATATTGTTGTATTGAAATTCAGTCTTCTGTCCTCACTCTACTATGGTTAAAAATGTCACTTAAAAATTTATTCATATTTTAAAATGCACGAATCCCGCACAGCCATATTAGGTGACACAGTTTCCAAAGTTATCAACAGACACATTTTCAAGTTTGATGAAGTTTTCAAAAAGATAGATTAAATTTTCAAGTTTTTACCCTAAACATGGAATCGGTGTGAAAGGGAGAAATTAACCCAATGCACCTGCAGTAAGAATACTCTATGTTGTTCACTATACCTCATGCTTAAACATAAGATAGCAAAACACAATAGCTATTAATGCAAGTTACCTCAGTGACAATTACAAACACCCCCTCTCCCTTCCAAGTTATTAACATAAAGCCAATTCAACCTACCTCAAATTAAAATAGCATTAGACAAAGCTGACTAGAAATACTTCGATAATATGACATTGTATGTGGCAGCTTGCATATGTTTGACTAAAAAAGCTTCAATAATATGTATGTGCCAGATTGCATATGTTTGACTAGAAAAGCTTCAATAATATGTGCCAGTTTGTATATATTTGACTAGAAAAGCTTCAATAATATGTGCCAGTTTGCATGTTTGACTAGAAAAGCTTCAATAATATGTATGTGCCAGTTTGCATATATTTGACTAGAAAAGCTTCAATAATATGTATGTGCCAGTTTGCATATGTTTATGTGTGTGCATGCATTGACACATATTTTGTTCCAAATCACCACTGCATAATAAAAAGCTGCAGCAGCAGCTGTATTTTAATTGTAGTCAAAATATCAAGCCTGTCCAGCAAGAGCCTGCATCAGATACAGACATTATATTAGTTTATATTAATTGCTAGTGCAAACATGCACAGTAGGTTTTATGTATATTTATAACTGACATCAACATATCAGATTTACATGCTTTCAGTTATCCAAGAATAATGTGCTTCACAAATGCTGGATGCTTTTGGTGGCCTCTGCTATTGCTATCCAGTGTTCAAAAAATTATGGCTGCAATACTTAGGGTAATTGTCAAGAGGATGACAATTTTATCCAATGGATAATATTATCCAGTATTGATCATACTGGGCCTAGGTTCTGTATCCCCAGTGGCCCAAAGCAACAGAAGCCAACATGTTTTTGGCACAGTTGTCCTCTAATGTGCTGCAATAGGTCTTTGGCCCATGACTAATGTGGGGGGAGCTTCCAATCCCATCGCCAATGGCTCCTGCCAAGAAGGAAGATCACCTCCCCCTCCGTGTTCCCGTAACTCACCCTCAACATCCTGACTGCTTACTTCTAGTTCATCTGCCAGATGCTCAAGTGTGGAATCTCTGAATGCAGCTTTCAGACATTTAATTGGTTCTTTTTTAGGACTAACATCAAGGAGTGCTTGAAACAAATTTCTACAGGCCTCTTCTGGATTTTCCCTAAAATTGCTTTTAAGCTTTGCTTTCACCTCACCTGACATTATATTAAACTGAGACAGGTAATCTAAAACTCGTCCAAAATTAATAATAAGGTCCTCAGCAAAGTCGATCATATTCTCTCTCAGTTTCTTGTACTCCATTTCACTCTTAAGTCCCTCCTAGAAGAAAAATACAATAAGGCATATTTTCAACTGATATCCCTTCAAACCTTGATGTTGCCTAATAACTAACAGAAGATAAAATACTTAATAATCCCAAACAGCCAATTCACTTTCTCATACAATTGCTTCAGAATCTCTTTCTCTTTTACTTGGAATATGAAGAGATGGAAAACTTGGCTGAGGGGTAAAATAAATATACCACAGAGAGTGACAATAGTTCTAATGTGGCATATACTGTAAAAATGACTGAAATCAAAACATATATTGTCATTTTAAAATATAAAAGACATTACTTTATCTGACCAAATGATCAATTACCTTGACTTTATCAATCAAATCTTGTGGAATGTCCCTGTCTCCCTCTGCATGGGCTTCTTTTAACCTTAACAGCACATTGATGAAAGATGCAATACAACCCTCAACCTGAGACAACAAATAATCCACAATATCCGGAGGACATGAATTTTCATCTGAAATGCCATACATCTTCTTCACTTGGTCCCATAGATCTCTTTGGGTAAGTGTCTCCTTTAGTTGTTTTATCACATCTGAAGGGACATGCTTACGGAATGATTTCTGCACATCTTCCTCTTTCATATGTGGCATGGTTTCCTTGTCTGTGCTATAAATGTGGTTAACCTGCTGCACATTGAATGTGAATGTATTTGTGCTGCCTGTATTAGAGGGGATTTGTCCTACAATCTCTTGCATTACTGTAGGCAACCTACCTAACTGATTACCCCCATGGGCCTGGTTGTAAGGCACTGGGTTTTCCATTGTTCTAATGGCATTAGGGTTAGTAACACCACTGCCTTGATCCCCAGCAGCCATGTGGACCTGCTGTGGGGGTAAAGGTGGAGACTCGTGAACTGATTTCCTACTAGTTTCATAGCTGACATCACCTTGTTGTTCCCGATCAGTGACTAGTCCCTGTGGTAGTCCACAATGATGGGATTGTCCTTGTTGATGATACGGTTGATTTGGTCCAGCTGTCTCATATACTGTCTGAGACTGAAAGTTGCCTTGTTGAAACCTCTGGTTGCCAAAGTAAGGTTGTAGTGTTGGTTGATTTTGTTGGAATTGGCCTTGTGCAACCATCTTCCCTGCTGTCTGAGACTGAAAATCATCCTGCTGGTTGCCAATATTGGTTTGAAATCCTGGCTGAAACTGTTGGTATTGGCCTTGCGGGTTATAGAACTGGTTTGGTATTGATTGGAAGTGATTGCCACCATGTCTCTGCATCTCACCACCTGGCAATAGTGGGGCCCGTCTTACACTTTCCAGACCACCAGAATAACTAGTAAAATTATAATTGTCCATAGTGGGGCCAATCTGAAAAAAATCATAAGCAGTAATAATTACACAAATAGCAGTAGTAATAGCTAACATATTATGGGAGGGTCCAACCATTCTGATTCTATTAATTAATCAACAAAACACTGGTTATTGAAGAGAGCAACACTACCTATTACATCATGAATTGCAGGCCCGTAGCCAGCGATTTCAAAAGGGGGGTTTGTTTTCTGAAAAAGTGGACCTAGATCAAATTTTACTCAGAGTGGACCTTTTTCCAGCAAAAGGGGCGGTTCTTTCGAACCCCCCGAACCCCCCCTGGCTACGGGCCTGAATTGGTACTATAACATTATTCAAAGAAAATAACATCCCAAGGAGAATATTATAATGCATTATCACATTTGGATAACTCAAGTAGTTTCCTCTAACAAACTTACTGGTAACGGCCAGTGGATTTCAAGCTCAGTGGATGTAATACATTTTATATCCTCTTCCTGATCTTTTCCTTCCTGTTTCACATATATTTTACTAACAAACACATTGAGACTTTCTTCTTTCTCCTTAGGGCAAAGGGAAAATGTTATGTTTTCTGAATTGTTCTCACACAACCTTATATAGTTCATAACCTGAAATGTAAAAGTGATTTTTCTTCACAGCCTTTTCAATATAATAACTCTCTCTCTATATGTTTATTTTTCTTCCATATTCTTAAAACTAATAAGGTATTTTCACCAATCTGCCGTGATCATCACTTTATAAGTTCATGCTGGAACAAAACGGCCTCCTTGTCTTTAGTGTTTATATCTAAATTTCACAAGATGGAGCATTTAAGTCAGATATAACTCATTAAATAACAACCTTTTGCGGAGAATCTTCATGCATCTTCCATTTCTTCTCAAAACCCTCCAACAAAAGACTGACATCATAGAACTTTTTATCTTCATCAAGGCTCTTACTGTACCCACAAGTGAAGAATTTGAATTTCTTTTTTGCATCTAGCATTTCCATTTGCAAATCTTCCCTGGCTTCTGCTGTGACATTCTGAAACATTCAACCAAAAAGTAAGTTTACCTGAGTGTCTGAAAGAACCATAGAGAGAGAACCAATTTCCACAAATAACAACAAATGATATTATGTTCCAAAAAGGCCAACTTTTATTAAATATATCACAAAACATACCAACTTATATCACACACAAGACAGCAAAGTTAACAAGTGTACAGACATATAGCAGAAAAAAGCTTTACAATTACAGTGCATAAAATATGTTGTTGTCAGGTAAAATTTAAGATAATAATTCAAACTGTTTTTCATGTATCATGATTTTTTTCCTTTGATGATTAAGGTGCATGTCAGTTATCCATTTACTGCATTGCCAGTAGAAAAGGTACAATGACAACAACAGGTAAAGGTGATGGCCAGTACATTGTACACATATGCTATAACATGTTGTGTCTGTATGTCTGTACAAAAAAAAAAAAAACTCTTTTGGGAGAAATGGGAGTTTTACCTTTATTTCATCCGGGGTGTCATTTACACAGTACACCTTCAGTTTCAGCAGGGTGACATGTTGAGGCTTAAATGAACCAAACACCAAAGCACAAAGGCGTTTACTTTCACATGACAAAGTGTGTTTGCAAAACTGTTGCATCATCATGATACACTTGGTATTTGTCAACACAACAGAATCACTGCTCAATACTTTCCATTGGCAGGTTTCATGTAAATGAGTTTGTGACTGCCACATGTAAAACGGATTGCTCATTCTGATGTCCCGAGTCAAATTTTCGGGACAGCTCCTTCCCATCTTTCTGTGGCGCGTGCCTGATATGCAGTGATAAAATGACAGGAAAACTGGTTTTCTGAATGTCAGGCCATGTGGGCCACAGACAACAACTGGACTTGCTCTAGTCTGACACAATGGCAACGGCGGCATGTCTTCTACTCTCCAACTAATACCAATGAACATTTCTGTAGTTTCAGCCAGGGCTCCCGGAGGCACTAAGAGGAATACTCCAACTTCTTTCAGATTAACATGTCCACCTTCTGGAGTGATGGAGAACCTCCTCAAATATGTATCTTTCAGCACATCTATCTGCTTACTGCCTTGTGAGGCATCGGCTGTCATCTGGGGCGATGCCAAGGATTCTGGCATTCTTTTCTCTTGTGGAACAAAGCTTTGTCTGTCGTCTGCAACATTTCAAAAAAATAAAAAAAACTATATATATATATATATATATATATATATATATATATATATATATATATATATATATATATATATATATATATATATATGGAATTTATGGAATCATTTTTAACAAAAAAATATTTTTCTGTCAAATTGTATCTGTACAATATCTGCAAAATGCAACAAAACATGCAGAACATTTAAAGTAATTTAAGTAAAAGGAAAGCTCAGTTCAGATCTTGTATACCACACTCCACATGTGTCACATAAAGACAGGATTCCACCATGTATAATTACAGTTACTGCACCTGTTTGTATGTCAATCCACTGAATTTCTTCATCCCCAATGGGTGTACTGTCCTCCTCTTCCTCACTCTCTTCCTTGTAACCACTCTCATCATAAAAACCATCATCCTGGTAAAATGTTCCCACATCAAGTTGTCTTTGCATCCTGGGTGCTAAATTTTTGTAGAACTCAGTACCTAAAAGCATACATATAAAAATTGAGTATGAATTACTTTTTCTGAAGGTAGGATCTCTTCCCTGTTTCTCTGTGTCTATATTGAGAAATATTTGATATGCAAATTATCAAATCAAGTCACCAGTAGGGTTTCTTCAGTTCCTTTCTTTTGTATGAGTCCAATACAAGGAAAGTTTGCTAAAAATACATATCAAGTGCATTAGGGGTGGAAAGGAGCATGGGGAAATCAAAAGCTCAAACACATTATTCAATTATCTCTATCTCTATTTTGTTTTAATTCTGTTAACAGGGGACATCCAAATCTCTTGGTAACTAGTTAGGAAGAAAAATTCTGATACCTCACAGCAGTTATATCTCTCTATTCAATTAAACATATATATTAATTCACTTTAATTTTCCACTACAATTAAAAAATATAATGTCTACTTGCTTTTTATTCCATCTCGCAAAAAATCTTCAGCATTGACAACAGCATTCTGATCATTATAATGCTGTAACAGCCTATTCCACACAGGATGACAACCTAACAAATTCTTGTTTCCTATAACAGAAAAGAGTATATTATGTCTTTAATTTTACAGTGTGCCTTTCCAAAATCAGTTTTTTTTAAAACTATTAATCCTACATTAATGGCACTCATATGCAGAAATTTTTCAATTTGAACAAAACTGGCAAACAATATTTTGAAAAGAATGCTTGAATAGTAATTTTAAAATACATAATCAAAAAATATTTTTGACATGTATAATTTTGTGCATAAAATTGCATCAATACTACAATTTTCTTAACATACATGCACTTCTTAAAAAAATTACCTTGAACATTTTAGAATAAGATGACAATTACTCATAAACTCACTACCTAACCTAAATTAGGATTTATTTTTTGACAAAATTTATTACAAAAATTGTTACCAATGATGATCAGTCCTTTGCGGGCTCTTGTAAGTGCGACATTAATTTGATGTTCATCTGTTATAAAGCCCAAGCTCTTTCGGCACCATCCCTGCGTTGGATTTTTGATTATCTGGTACTGGGGCAAGGAACGCACTGTAGTAAATATCACAATGTCCCACTCTCCTCCTGCAAAATGACAAAACTTCTCTTGAAACTGTTTAAAGTTATACTATGTATGTTTGAATTTTTCTCAATGTCAGCTTATCTTTGTCTACATTATTCATTTGGTGGGTAAATCCCATATAGAAAACCTTTAAGGCATGGAAAGGGAATATTGCCTACTAAGAAGGTACCACCAGCCACATTTGAACTTACAAGTGGGACATGCTTACAACATTCATTCTACACTAGACCTATTAAGTTGTAGTGACAAACATTTCGAGTCAAACCTAACTAGGTTTAGGACAGGTCATAAGTTGGATAACACACTTAAAATTCTATGCCTCTCTTTGCTCGAGTACAACACAACTTGCTGGAAGGCAGTGCTTTTGTCTATAGCAGACATCCGGAAAACTTTTCAGAATGGCCCGACATTTGGACCGGCAGTAATGAAAAATTTGCCGGACTGAAAATCACCCTATTTGTTTGAGACGGAGACTACAATTAGGTAGCTTACTTTGTTTGTGAATGTGGTCAGTTTGAAATGGAAGGGAAAAATGCTTTGGGCTTTATATAATTTTATTAGTGAAGTATGTCGAATGATGACTGTAAATTCAAAATGGTGGCTGTGAAAACTCTTACTGGTTGTATGGGCCCACCATTTCCAATTTTTAACAGGCCGTACAAATTTTGCTGGTCATGACCAATCAGACTGACGGTTTCAGCATGTCTGCTATAGTCTCCTTTCCAAGTAAAGTTAGTTTTCTTGCAATAGTTTACTTTGAAAAAAATGTGAACAATCACACTCTTAACCCCTTATCTGGATTATCTCAAAGCCACATTTTAGTTTCCTATCTAAAAATTAATGTGGCCATAGGGAACATTCCCAGACCCTCTCATACTAACTGTGGATCAATCTATCTCCAAGGGGATTCTTGCTAAATTGCATCAACTTTAACAGCTAAGATGTCTGTCATGCCTACTGAAGCTGCTAGGGGGTAATTAATTATCGTTTAGCAGCTTCAGACATCTAAGCAGCTTTAACTAAAAACAATTTAATGAGAAATCCCCTGGAGAGATGGATTGATCTTGTTAGATTGATCTAGGTATGGGAACCCAGTTATATACATTATATGCAATTCATGGCGAGTTCATTGCTATATACCTTACACTTATCACATACATTGTACATAACTAATGGTGAGCTTCCAGCTATACCTTACTGTTATCACACATATAATACCTAACTCATGGTGAGCTTAAAGCAATACCATACTGTTATCATAGACATTGTATGTAACTCACTGCTTGCCAGACAATTGAGCTGATTACACTGTCTGCACTTCAGCCAGAATCCCCGCAAAGTTGAATTGATCCTGCTGGTACAATGTCTGAATCAGAATACTCCCTTACTGTTGTCATATACATCACATGTATGGTAATGACTTGATCTTTTCAATAGAGGAAAATTGTGAATTTTACAGATGCTGTATTTTTTACAGGGGCGTATTTAGGTCATCTTCTGGGTCTTCCAGAAAACGGTCAGATTTTCAAGTTTACATTGACAAGTATCTAATTTTTTCTGTCGGAAGATGGTCAAAAATGAAGAATTAAGCAACAAAGATCATTTGGAAGACTATCAGAAAATATCTCTGAATCCGCCCCTGTTTTGTCAAAATTTCTTAAAATTAGAGCATTCCTATTGAGTGGTTGCAACAAAATTGCAATTGCCCATTGAAAAGATGGAGTCATTACTGTTCCTCATGGTGAGCTTAAAGTTATACCTTCAGTTATCAAAGACATCATATGTAACTCATCAATGTCATCATCACAATACATACCCTGACTTTGAACCACTGTGCTGACATTCACTCCACGGCCAAACTCGTCACTAAGAACCTCCTGCACACGAAACACCTGATCTCTGTACTGGGACAATACTATCACCCTCTTCTTTGATATATTGAACCCTTTCACAAATGTTCTGTATAATCTGACCTTAGAAATAGAGCAAGCCATATAAAAACAAAATACTATACCATTTGATTTTTGTTTAAAAACAAGAAAAAAATGACTGAAATTCAAAAAGTTATGCAAGTATTCAAAAAGAGCTTGCACAAATTTCAAGAGACTGAACATCGTATTTAGTTTCTGTATCAGTGATAGGCATATCTGTCTTTAAGCCTTAGCTTTCTATTACAATTTGACTGACAATCTTATTAATTCATCTTTTGTTTTAAACTAAGTGAAAAGCTAGTTCATGGAAATTTTTTTCATCAACAGTGTATTTTTGGTGAACATTTTTTTCTACAAGCCTAATGAAGTCTGAAATAAAATTTACCACATGCTCAAGTTCTTCCTCATTTCTTTTCGACTGTTCTCCGCCATCTGAATTTCCAACAACTAAAGTCTGTTCCTTCCCCTCCACATGGCAAAACCTGTACCTTTTGCTTCCTTGCCAGACATATCTACCAAGACTCTTTTCTTCATCTTCATACATTTCCTGACTATGTCCAGTCTTTAACTTTCCAGAATAAAACTCTTGAGAAGGAAACTCAACTATGTCTCTATGCTGAAAAAATACATGAAATAACTCAAATCTGCAGCTTACATACATTTTTTAACATTCCTCAAGTGCAAAAAATTAATAAATAAATATAAATTCATTCACAGATATGCCAACTCATTTTAGTGATGTTATGTAGTTGTTTACAGATATATGTAAGATGGGCTTCTCTCAGTTTAGATTAGTGCTTAATTATTTTCAGGTTAAAAAGAAAGCAAATATTTTGAAAAAAAAATTATTTTCAAATCAAGGGATTTTTTTCACAATAAACATGCAAACCTTTTCCATGCAGTGCAGTTATTTGGCACAGCACAAGTATTGATTTTGAAAGATTTTCCCATTCAGTACAATTATTCGGACAGTACCATCGTTAACTTTTGAAGATTTTCCTCACATTACAATCATTAAGAACTTCAGAGTAGTAACATCAAGCTTTTTCAGTGTTTTTAATCATATAACAAGGCAGCAAAGCTGTCAAATGTACAGACAAAAAAAAACAGAAAATAAAGATGCAAATACGTAAAAAAATTAAATTTTCAAAAAAAAACTGTTAAATTGCCAGAAAAATTTACCCAACAGACTGCGTTGCCTATTGAAGCTGTATGTTAGACCCATGATTCTTTCCTGTAAGTTTGAGAACAGTAAGTGACATGATTTCCCTTAAATGGTCATCATAGGAGCAGTGCCCAAAATAGGGGTTTCTTCAAATTTTGATGCAAAATTACATAATGTTTAACAGCATAATNGAAGGTACCACCAGCCACATCTGAACTTACAAGTGGGACATGCTTACAACATTCATTCTACACTAGACCTATTAAGTTGTAGTGACAAACATTTCGAGTCAAACCTAACTAGGTTTAGGACAGGTCATAAGTTGGATAACACACTTAAAATTCTATGCCTCTCTTTGCTCAAGTACAAAACAACTTGCTGGAAGGCAGTGCTTTTGTCTATAGCAGACATCCACAAAACTTTTCAGAATGGCCCGACATTTGGACTGGCAGTAATGAAAAATTTGCCGGACTGAAAATCACCCTATTTGTTTGAGACGGAGACTACAATTAGGTAGCTTACTTTGTTTGCGAATGTGGTCAGTTTGAAATGGAAGGGAAAAATGCTTTGGGCTTTATATAATTTTATTAGTGAAGTATGTCGAATGATGACTGTAAATTCAAAATGGTGGCTGTGAAAACTCTTACTGATTGTATGGGCCCACCATTCCCAATTTTTAACAGGCTGTACAAATTTTGCCGGTCATGACCAATCAGACTGACGGTTTCAGCATGTCTGCTATAGTCTCCTTTCCAAGTAAAGTTAGTTATCTTGCAATAGTTTACTTTATAAAAAATGTAAACAATCACAATCTTAACCCCTTATCTGGATTATCTCAAAGCCACATTTTAGTTTCCTATCTAAAAATTAATGTGGCCATAGGGAACATTCCCAGACCCTCTCATACTAACTGTGGATCAATCTATCTCCAAGGGGATTCTTGCTAAATTGCATCAACTTTAAGGAGGGAATGTAGGTTTGAGATTTTCTCTTAAAATAAAGGTCTTGGCTTTTTTATTCCTGTCACATTCATTTAACGTATCTTCAAAATATCTAATTATGCTTGGAACACAGCTTTAACTTCATCGTGTGACGTAATATTGGGATTTTGGGGACAAAAACACCATTTTTATACACCTGATTTTCTCAGGCACCTGGACAGCTATAAACTTGCTTTTGATGTCATTATGACACTTGAACAAAGTACTACAGCATGGAGTCAGGGATTTTTCTTCAGACACTTANCGCGGAGTCTAGCGATATCATTAGATTTATTTGCTTTACTTTCTTTAATGCACATGTATTGAACCTATGCGCCACCCAGTGAATAATTATGCTAGGGTGTGGGCTCAAGTCTTGTATTTACGCAAAACAATCTTGTATGTTATTCCAGTATATTCCATACAGGTGACTTTAATAAGCAGAGAATTTCTTTATATTCCGTGAAAAATACACTAAATTTATATAAAATAATATCATGGTTGGCCAAAAAAATGTACGCACAGTGCATACGTGCGTATGCCTAGTTACCCCCATGTATATTTTTAAAATCTAACACTAAACTGCATCGACCTGTTGGCGAAAATGGATAGAAAGAATGACGATTGTTGTCACGGGTAGCAAGCAACGGAATTTTCTTCTTTTCTTTTGCGTATCTCAAAAAGTTAACAAGAAAATCGAAAGAACGCGTGTAACAACAAGCAATATTCAAGGGAGAACGAGTATTTCGAGCAAATCCAATGTGTCGGAAAAGATTCATCTTAGCGCTGATCACAATCAAGAGAGACTATCAAGACAGCTTAAGCGGAACAATAGGCACTGCTTTGCCGATCGCTGTTTATGACAAAGGGGGCATGGCGCATCCCTGTTCTATTGTTTCCCTAGACGTGTTGATGCTGCTAAGGTCCGCCCACCGAGTTTACCCATGCCAACGGTCCTTGACAACGAAGGCGGGGCATATACCAGGCCACCGCTGTCGATGTGTGCAGCATCAGAATAATCAGAAAAAACAAATTTTTTGTTTAAAATGTAAAAATTTTATTCTGTTAAACGTTAAATACACGTTTAACCAATAATTAGACATAAAAAACCAAAAATGGCTATTTTTAGCTATATTTGGGTACATCCGCTCCTTAACAGCTAAGATGTCTGTCATGCCTACTGAAGCTGCTAGGGGGTAATTAATTATCGTTTAGCAGCTTCAGACATCTAAGCAGCTTTAACTTAAAACAATTTAATGAGAAATCCCCCGGAGAGATGGATTGATCTTGTTAGATTGATCTAGGTATGGGAACCCAGTTATATACATTATATGCAATTCATGGCGAGTTCATTGCTATACCTTACACTTATCACATACATTGTACATAACTAATGGTGAGCTTCCAGCTATACCTTACTGTTATCACACATATAATACCTAACTCATGGTGAGCTTAAAGCAATACCATACTGTTATCATAGACATTGTATGTAACTCACTGCTTGAGAGAGCATGCCAGACAATTGAGCTGATTACACTGTCTGCACTTCAGCCAGAATCCCCACAAAGTTGAATTGATCCTGCTGGTACAATGTCTGAATCAGAATACTCCCTTACTGTTGTCATATACATCACATGTATGGTAATGACTTGATCTTTTCAATAGAGGAAAATTGTGAATTTTACAGATGCTGTATTTTTTACAGGGGCGTTTTTAGGTCATCTTCTGGGCTTTCCAGAAAACGGTCAGATTTTCAAGTTTACATTGACAAGTATCTAATTTTTTCTGTCGGAATATGGTCAAAAATGAAGAATTAAGCAACAAAGATCATTTGGAAGACTATCAGAAAATATCTCTGAATCCGCCCCTGTTTTGTCAAAATTTCTTAAAATTAGAGCATTCCTATTGAGTCGTTGCAACAAAATTGCAATTGCCCATTGAAAAGATGGAGTCATTACTGTTCCTCATGGTGAGCTTAAAGTTATACCTTCAGTTATCAAAGACATCATATGTAACTCATCAATGTCATCATCACAATACATACCCTGACTTTGAACCACTGTGCTGACATTCACTCCACGGCCAAACTCGTCACTAAGAACTTCCTGCACACGAGACACCTGAGCTCTGTACTGGGACAATACTATCACCCTCTTCTTTGATATATTGAACCCTTTCACAAATGTTCTGTATAATCTGACCTTAGAAATAGAGCAAGCCATATAAAAACAAATTACTATACCATTTGAATTTTGTTTAAAAACAAGAAAATGACTGAAATACAAAAAGTTATGCAAGTATTCAAAAAGTGCTTGCACAAATTTCAAAAGACTGAACATCTTATTTAGTTACTGTATCAATAATAGGCATGTCTGTCTTTAAGCCTTAGCTTTCTATTACAATTTGACTGACAAACATATTAATTTATCTTTTGTTTTAAACTAAGTGAAAAGCTAGTTCAAGGAATTTTTTTCATCGACAGTGTATTTTTGGTGAACATTTTTTTCTACAAGCCTAATGAAGTCTGAAAAAATTTACCACATGCTCAAGTTCTTCCTCATTTCTTTTCGACTGTTCTCCGCCATCTGGGGTTTCAACAACTAAAGTCTCTTCCTTCCCCTCCACATGGCAAAACCTGTACCTTTTGCTTCCTTGCCAGACATATCTGCCAAGACTCTTTTCTTCATCTTCATACATTTCCTGACTATGTCCAGTCTTTAACTTTCCAGAATAAAACTCTTGAGAAGGAAACTCAACTATGTCTCTATGCTGAAAAAATACATATATGAAATAACTCAAATCTGCAGCTTAAATACATTTTTTAACATTCTTCTACTGCAAAAAATAAACAAATAAATAAATAAATAAATAAATAAATAAATAAATAAATAAATAAACAAACAAATATAAATTCATTAACAGATAAGCCAACTCATTTTAGTGATGTTATAAAGTTGCTTGATAGATTTTATGTAAATACAGATATATGTAAGATGGGCTTCTCTCAGTTTAGATTAGTGCTTAATTATTTTCAGGTTAAAAAGAATGCAAATATTTTGAAAAAAAAATCTTTTCAAAGCAAGGGCTTTTTTAACACAATAAATATGGGCATTGCAAACCTTTTCCATGCAGTGCAATTATTTGGCACAGCACAAGTATTGATTTTGAAAGATTTTTCCATTCAGTACAATTATTTGGACAGTACAATTGTTAATTTTTGAAGATTTTCCACGTATTACAATCATTAAGAACTTCAGAGTGGTAACATCAAGCTTTTTTCAGTGTTTTTAATCATATAAAATACTGAAATAAAATAAATAGTCACTATGTAATTCATGGCAGGCATTTTTTAATAAAAATGGACCACTTTTTTGCAAAGTGGGCCAAAATGGCCCAAACAGATTTTGACCAAGGAACATCCCTGAAAGTAGAGCAAACATATCAAAATAATGAAAAAATTTCTATGGTTTAGAAATATTTTTAATAGCCCTTACCATACGATACTGGATGTCCAGCATGATGGCCCTGCCCTCATTTGCATAACGCTCAAACAAAGAAGTCTCAAGCCTAAGATCTCTTGCTGCTTGGCTCAAGACAATTGGTCGCAGTTGCTTGTGATCTCCAATAAGCACCACCTTTGGGATGAATAGCCAAATTTTAAGGGATTTAACAAAATTGAAATTAAAGACATATTCTTTTTACATTTTTGATAATTCCATCTTTAATTTTACATGTTATTTTTCAAATTCTGCCTTTCTAAAATAATATTCTTACACTGTTCAATCATTTTTTAAGGTGGAAAGCAACAAGATTTCAATGGGAAACATTACATTAGAATTTTCTTTACTATTATTTGATCATTATTTATTACCTGTCTCGCTCTTGAAGAAACTATTGGGATGAGGCTATCAGCTTCTATGCACATTCCACACTCGTCCACTATACACTGTTCAAAGTTGGTTACTGTGACCACTCTTGAGCTTGAGCTCACTGAGCATGTGCAAAGCACCACATCATGGTGGCGAAGTTCATGCTCCTCTGCTTTGCTCACCAAATCTCTATATCTCCTTATATCATTTTCAAGTCTTTTTGCATCAAAATTCTTTGGATTTTTGAAATATTTACCAAATTCAGCATCATATTTTTTTATTTGTTTTGCATATGGGTTGGTATGGTGCCTTATTATGTGGTGAAGAGCAACATCACTATGTTCCGAATGCTGCATGGAATCTGTAGATCTTTCGCTTTTGTTTGTTTGTTCCAGAGGGACAGGAAATTCTCGTTGAACAACATTTTCTCCATATACTCTGACAATCTTTGGGCAAACTGACGGTCGTTGATCATCTTTATTGTGCAGCCTTGGGTTGAACCTCTTCTTCAGCAAACCTAAAGTGCCACAAACAATTTTGGTATATCTCTTAAAATCAAACAGACTAAAATATCAAAGTTATCAATTGAATTTTCCCTAAAAACTTTGCATAAAGAAACATTTCATCAGAGACAATACCTGTAGTGTCAAAAAGTTGTACAAAGATCCACTTCTTTATCTGGAAAGAATGTGTCTTTTTATAAATGCACCTGTTACCACATCCACAGATTTATTTGATGGTCCACAATAGAGTACTTGCTTTAGGTCCGACCCACTTCTTGTTGCCTCATTCCACTTCACAAAAAGATATACAATCCGTATCCCTGTCAACGATTTCCCTGTACCTGCATCCAAGATAAGTTAAGCTTATTATTATATTCATATTTATCCCCATTCTGTTAAAAGCTAGCCATATTTCTTAAGTAAATTGTTATTCACAGAACTTTTATTCTATCTTTAATCTACCCATCCATTTAAATTTTTCTAAATTAACGTATAGAATATCTTCAGCTCTGTTATAAATGCACTGTTTCTACTATAACCACCTAAGAACAGACATTACTTGAACTCGACTACATATATGCGTCCCGCATGCCACATGTAAAGGCTCTGATTTTTGCTAAATAATATAAAACAGAATTATTCTTTTCTTAGAGACTAAATAATAATTAAGTTAATCATGACATTTCGGTCAGCATCTACCATTTTGTCACATGCACGATGATTTCACACCAGAATCCAACACCCAGAAAAGCAAACCTTATCATTAATCCCCCAAGAGTTGAAGGCCCTTGTTTCATGAAAACTAGAAATAATTAAGTTCAAATAACACTGATGTCAGTTGTAGCTTTAAAGAAAGCACCACAGTGACTGTAATTACTATAGATAATTTCGCAAAGAGAACACACCTGGAGGGCCCTGAATAAGTGTAAAAGGCCTTGAGAGAGCTTGGCATACAGCTTTTCTCTGGTTTTCATTGATGCCAGGTAAATATGTATATCTTCTCAAAAAATTATTTTCTCTGTCTATGAACTCCTCCATGCTTTGCTCAGTCACTGAAAAAGTGAAATTGAAATAAAAAACATAATACATCACATAAGTCTCAAATTTAATTAATTCTCTTAAGGGCAATGAAAGGGTTTATTACCATCCAGATACCAAAAATGAGGTTTTTCCTGCATCTAATTATTTGATAATGCTTCTAACTTTGTGCCGATTTAAAGCAATAAATATCCTCCCGCAAGCATATAATATCAATGTTTATCTTTCTCTATGCAATTTATAAGCATAGGAAACTCAAAGCTTTGATAATCGATTTTGCACTTTCCTTTTTTGAAGCAATTGGCATGGGGCTTAACTTCATCCTTAAAAAAAGATTTTATCGGTAACATTGGCAGAGTTGACAGCAAGTGCATGGGCTTCAATACCATGCCATCATTCTGGTTTAAATGCTTTTGTTATGGAGTTATGAGCCCCTGATTACAGATTTTCATTAAGCCAGGGCATTATTTTGTTTTATCAATGGTAAAATCTGAACTGAGGGTTTTAAGAAAAGTTTTGGAGTACAAAATGGTATCATTTAATTGGCATTCAAACAGTATTCTTAAGTGCTCAGATATTTGAGAAACCAATTCTTCCAATTTTACCCCAAAATTGCAATTATGATGCCAACTGTAAGATGACGTGTGTAAATGCTTATTAATTTAGTTACTGAACACTGAAGATTTATCTGTTATCTGTAAGAATTTATGCAAGGCAGCAGATAAGGATTCCAAATTTTTGGCAAACCCTTACAGTATCCTGAAAAGGTAGTCCCCAAATTGCACATATTTCATTAGTATTATGAAAGGAAATGTGTATAAATTTCCAAGATTATTCTGAAGTATTTTTGCTGTATAAATTAATGTTGGTGTATGTATTCATGAATGAGGCTTACAAGCTTCCGGTTTAGAATCTTCAGGTAATAGGTTTCCAATGGCTATGCTCTGGGCAAGATCCGTGGCTTTGGCCAATTCATGCACAGCTCCTTCCATGCGTCTTAAAACATAAAACAACAATAACATTAAACTAAACATAAAAGATGGAACAAATACAGATATTTATAAAAGAAATTAAAAGAAGTGGATTCAATAATATCTAGGCAAGGTGGATGGCTTAATGGTTTCTGACAAATTCTGAAACAAATATTCAGCAATTGTCATAATGAAGAAAGAATACACATATCTAGCCATGGTGGAGAATGGATGGATGATTTCATGTACCTGTTAGGAAGGGTCTTCTGGATTATTTCCACGCAGCACTTGAAATCTCCATCTTCACTATCACTTTGCTCAAGAATGGCACCTGGAATATTCTCACCAAGTAATCTGAACAACACCCTCTTGTTCTTTCCTACTGTGATCAATAGACCATGGCCACACCAAATAGGGTCGCATTTGGCAATACTGGTACATGGGAAAGAAGAGTGTTTTGTCTCCTCAGATTTGTTCATCCTGGTGTAGATTACACAGATGTAATCACCATACTGTCCACAGTCCACAATCACTTCGTTATCTTCTTCCAAGTTGGAATCAGTTTCCTCATGGAAGAACTCAATATTACGCTCTTCACAAAATAAATCCCCAAGGGTAAATGTTCCATAGTATACAGTTTTGTTTTCAGTCTCCTTTGCCTCCCACACAATGTTTACATTTTGGATAGTAACAGCTTCATCATTGGCCACAGCACAGGCTGCAGACTCTATTGCCAGGACTGGAAGAATCACATTCTGGTAATGTTCAATTCCTGCATATTTGTCCATCAATGGATGTGCAGCCAGAGGATCTGAAAACATTTTGACTGGGTCCTCCCTATGTGACAAGCAGATTTTGAAGTGCGGAGTAATGCCAAGTAAACTCACAAAAGGTCTCAGTTTCCCCATCTCAACACATGAAGACATCAGGGTTTCCAACACATTTCCTGTTGTTATGTGTAATGCCAATTTGCATTCTGGTAGTATGAGTGGTTTGCCGTGACTGCCCTTCTTGCTTGTCTGCTCGAGTATAAACATGTCTCCAGACACATAACTAGGATATGTTGCTTGCTTTCTATAATTGTACTCTTGTATGCTATGCAACGTACCTTTCAATTTGTCTGAAAACCAAAATGAAGGATTTTGCAATTTAATCCAACAGTTAATTGGCACTAAAACCTCACTTTGAAATGGATACAGTTTGAAATCCCTCTCCATTTTGGAAGGCAAAAATGTTGATTTGGCCATCTCATATTCTTTGTTGTAAAGTCTCTTGGACCATTTGAAGCATATATCATTGTGTTGTCCATGAACTGGGGCATCAATTAAACCCAGGGTTCCATATCTTACACTGGAATATTTTCTTGGAAGGTAAGACATGGCTGGATTATTTAATGTTAAAGAAGACTCTTCAATTTGTGTGACAACTGGTGAGTACAATGCCTGGCCATTCTTTTGCAATTCCAGACTTGTTTTCAAAATTTTACAGTCTTTGCTGAACATTTTTTCCCTGAGTGAATTCTCATTGTACAACAAACAAATCTGCTGCATACTTTCTAAATTGTTGTACGAAGGCTCAGTTGGTTTTGTTTTTCCATCCAACAAGTCACAGAGCAGACGTTGGACAATGAGGTCCATATATCTACGAATCGGTGAGGAGACCTGGGTGTAAATGGGAACATTCAAAGCAAAGTGAGAATAGTCTGCATCAGAATCATTTGGGTCTGAGATGACATAGCGTGCTGGTCGTTGCACATCAAACCAAGCTGCCATGGCACAGAACTGCATTGGGTAGTCCTCCTCAGATGCAAGACAATTCTTCAGATCTGACAGCCCTTCTGTGCTCTCCGCAAGACTGATCATCTTCTGCCAAGTTTGTTGTCTGACTGTAATAAACTCTGGCGAAGTTTGCGGTTCCTTCACATAATGACTCAGATAAGAAGTTAGTTCTGCTATGGCACCATACTGGTTTTGCCAATCAGCTAGAGTTTCTTTATCTGGTGGAAAGTGCACTCGTAAAGGTACATATCTAAATGTTTTAGTCAGAAGTTTTGCTATTGTTGCATTTGTCAAAATCATGAATTCTCCAATGATTCGCTCTGACATAGGTGACTCCTTGCCATCAGCATGCACAAATTTTGCAGCTTCTTTGAGACGATTGTGGCGTAAATGTTCTGCTGCTTTGTGCAGAAAGATTAAACTGTCTGTCAGATAACTGCCCATCTCTTTTTCAGAGTCCCTGAGAATGTCCTCTGAATCTTTGTATGACAACTGCCTTTTTGATCGAATGACTGTCCTTTTAATTTCTGGTGTACCAGGTAGGTCATCACTATTGTTTCCAATGGTGATATTCCCATTTTTATCAAATCTGAAAAAGACTGATATTGCAACTCTGTCCTTCCCCTCTAAGAGACTACAGAAGTTGGTGCTAAGTTCAGTAGGTAGCATATGGTATGGTTTCTCAGGGTGGCTTCTTTCATCTGTATCTGGCATTTCTGCAGGATAAAAGGTTCTAGATCGTAAAGCTGCCTCTTGATCTATGGGATCCCCTGGTTCAACAAATGCCGACACATCAGCTATGTGAACTCCAACTCTCACAGTATCATCTTCACAAAAGTCCACTGATAGTGCATCGTCTAAGTCCTCGGAGTCCTTTGGATCAATTGTAAAACAGTGGAGCTGCCTACAATCCTCTCTATTTGTGAAAAAGTCATCTGGAAGATGGGATGTTTTGGGTTCTTCATCTTCTGGAACTTTTTGAGATCTCTTTGAGAGACCTCTCATGAGGGCTCGCTTCTTTTTTTCAACATCTACTGGGAATTTCTGAGACAACTGGTATTGGATTTTCAATATCTCCTGGGCATTTGTGAAGTCAGTGCCAGCAGGTAAAACTTTTATGACATATCCAAGTGGATACTGGAAGACAGGGGACCACTTCAAACACCTGACCACAAAAACCTTGCTGTCTCTCAGTCGGAGGTCTACTGGTTCCCATCTCTTGACATTTAGTCTCCCATCTTTGTCTGATGAATAAACTGCAATTCTGTTGTCAGTCCCTGTAGGGTTCATCACATGTATTTTAGGTACTGTCTTGTTTAAAGGTTTCATAAGATCTATTCTGAATTCATCAACTGTACATACAAACTTTGTAAACTTTCTGACTTTAACCTGACTCCATGTCCCTATTACTTTTCCATGGAAATCGGTGTCCAAGTTGATTTTGTCAGATGTTGGGGGATTATTGAGCCTTACAACAACCTCAGTTTTATCAAAAGCCATCCCACAGTTGCTTCTACCATAAAGATTTATCCTGGGAACTGGTTCATTTCTCTCAATGGGCACTGCAAACCCTTTCTGTGCACTCTCTATGTAAAGAGTACAGATCTTAAACTTGCTCGGCTCCCTTTTCAACATATCCATCAATTCAATCTTTGAACGATGTTCATAATAGGTTTCTTTTTGGTCTATGTCTTTGACAAAGAAATCATAGAAATGTTCATTGAGATCCCTGTCATCATCCTCATCTTCTGCCTCACCCTCATTCATTTCTTCATCATCTGCACCCCTGGCATATCTATGTGTCTGATACAACCATGTATCAAATTTCATATCATGGAGGGTATTGGTGCTATGTTCATCTTCAAGATATCCATCTCTCTCAAAATGGATTTCATCTTGGATTTCAGATATTTCTTTACTGGAAACAAACTGTTTGTCATCTTTCCATTGCTTTTCTAAATTTTTGAAGATTTCTTCATCACTTAATTCGTCATCTTTGTCTGAGTCTATTTCAGAGGAAAATTCTGAATCACCAGAACCAGTCATTGAACTGTAACCGGAATCTCTAGCAGATGTATCTGTGTTGATACTTTTGGCTGTTTCATGATGTTCTACAGTTTCCTTTCCATTTTCTGTGCCTCCCAGACGTTGGTAATCTTTACCAAGAATCTCTTCAACAATCTCACACCCAATATCTGGGTACAACGAACTTTTTTCCCTACATTCATCGATGTAGTGTTTCCATATAGTACGACATGATCCAATGCTACAAAGAGTGAAAGGATCCCCAACCACCAAAATGTGCCTCCTTGCTCTTCCCATGGCAGTATTGAGAAGACGACTGTTCTCCAAAAATCCCAAAGCACCACTAGAAGTTTCACCACTACAAGTTCGTACTGTACTCAAAATTACTGCATCAAACTCGAGACCTGTAATACAAAATGTTCCATGGTGAGACCCAACGTGCTGGATGTCAAGTCAAAGTAATCTTACAGCTAGTAGAAATAATATTTCATATCTTATGTTAATCTTTTCAAAAATGATCAAGCACAATCAACCTTTGACAGTTTGCCTGCAGATTATTTACACAAGACTTATACCATGAGATCAACTCTTGAAACAAGCAGAGAAAAAACTTTGTGCGTAACCTAGTAGCAAAATGTTTCTAGGGTAAAATACTGCTGATTAATTTCAAATGCCTTCCCAGACAGCCTCAGTAATCTGGCCCAGATCTGGCAACGTCTGGCAATAGATAGAAAATTTAAAATACTTGACAGAGGAGACGCGTGCTTATGTTGTATTCAGCAGGGACAGGTGTACAAGATATTTTCAGGACTCTCCCAAACACAGGTTAGAAACATGAATATACATAAGACATTTAACGCTTTAAATGAAATTGGAACACCAGAAACTGAGTATGATGAAACCGAAGTCATTTGACAAACCAATCCAGTCTAAACATTACGAGTTTAGACATGAAAAACGAAGTAGAAACTCCCTGACTGAGAAAACATGAAACGTTGGATCACTTTGCAAAAGTCTGCAAAACTGAAACTATTATTCGTGTAAATGACAGCTGAACTGTCAATTAACATATTTTGAAAGGACCGTTTCTCTCCAAGAAAGGAAGGGATGTTATGTTTTGACTTGACATTTGAATGAACTGTTGTTAACTTGGTAGAGTTACTTGTTCCATTGTTAATTCCTTTAATAATTATAAGCTTGTCAAGAAGCCGGATGTATCATTTCTTAGTGTTATGGATTTGAAAAAAGCGCAAGCATTGCAAACTGGTTCAATTCATTGAGTGATTTGATTCGTAATGTGATTTAATTCAAAAGCATTGATACTGGGGTTTGTTTTTGTGCACATGTAATTCTCTTTTAATTGTACAACTATATCTGTGCTGGGGTATACATGATTCTTTTTTCAGAGTTTACATGTATGTACTGTACTGTAGCCAGCATGCAAGTTGAATTGAAACAGTTACTGCATGGTTATTTATAATTTTCTACGTCATCTAAAAAACATGGTTATTTATAATTTTCTACGTCATCTAAAAAACAATGTTTTTTTCAT